GTGTAGGTTGTATTTCATAGTATCTGCTAGTTCAACTCCCAGATATGGATGGTTTTTAACAATATGTAGTGATTGATTTTTCATTTTGTAGTCAAATACAGATTTGTTACGTTTATTTGTTATTGACATGGTTGCACATTTATCGACGTTAAATTCCATTTGCCAGATATTACTCCAATCAACTAAGGTGTCCAGGTCTTTTTGTTAAAATATTATGATCTTCACTGGTGAGTATGGATCTATAAAATGACACAATCGTCAGCAAATAGGCGAATTGATGACTTAATATCCGAGGCGATGTCGTTAATATATAGTAAAAAAACAATGCAGGACCAAGCACGGTTCCCTGGGGCACGCCAGATGTTACCAGTGACGGTCTTGATGATTCTCCGTCTACTACTACTCGTTGATAACGACCGTTAAGGAATTCATTAATCCATAAGTTGGTTTCATTACATATACCATAATATTGCATTTTCACAGAGAGACGCTGATGTGATACTTTATCGAAGGCCTTAGAAAAGTCAAGCACCGCCATATCAACCTGGTGACCAAGATTAACACTACGAGCAATGTCATCTGTAGTTAATAGAAGTTGAGATTCACACGAGCGTTTAGCCCTGAACCCATGTTGGTTTTCATGAAGAATATTCTGGCTGTCTAAATGGTTCATTACTTGTGAGACTATTATATGTTCAATCATTTTAGAAACAACTGCGGTTAAGCTTACCGGGCGGTAGTTCGATGGTTTGGTTCTGTCGCCTTTTTTGAAAATTGGTACGATGTTAGCGTTTTTCCAGTCCAATGGTACTTCAGATTTATCAATTGACTGTTGGAATAAAGACCGTATAATTGGTGCTATTTCAGTTACACATTCTTTCAATACTATGATAGGTATTTTATCTGGCCCAGAAGCTTTCTTGGGATTAAGTCTGTTAATACACTTAACAACACCATTTAATGTAACGTTTATCTTGGGCATCGAGCGGTATGGCGAAGATCCTTTATTAGGTAGATTGTCCAAAGATTCTTTCGTAAATACTGAACAAAATTGGTTGTTAAGCATTTCTGCCTTATGACTAGCGGATTCGGCGATTTGACCGTTGTTTTTCAATGTTCCAATGTTCACGCTGTCTTGTTTACGAGACTTTATATATTTCCAAAAGGATTTCGAAGATTTATCATTTTCTGGATCTAGAAGATTACTGTGTTTATCTATATTCATGCATATTGAGTTCGATCGGGCGATCATTATCCAAACTGTGAATTTTACTTTAAACAATGAATTAATGAAATATTTAAAAAAAAAACATTTAACAGCAGCATCTATTAGTAGTCATTTACTAAAAAAAACACACGTACAAGTATCATTCGATTACACTGTTACAAATCACGTTACATGAACCATTTATTTATTGACTTTTGCGCATTTTAGGAGTCATTTTCCTTTTATCGTTTCTAAAGACGGCAAATAAACAATTGTATCATAACAAACAAATCGGTTACAACACCTTTTATTTAGTTTCATTTAACCTTAATTGCCTTTGTCACGATCACGAGGTGTTAAAACATGTGTCACCGACTGTCAATTATTTAGAACATGTCGACCGCAACTTCTGTTGTCTGTTTGTGTTCGACCGAAAAGGTGTGATTTACACTATATTTCTGCCGACGGGACCAGAGATCAGGTTCGAGAGTTCGAGTGATGGGTGTTCGAGCGATCCGAGGTAGAACAATATATATTATATAGGAATTTTGCCGGGACTGGGCAATGAGTTCGAGCGAAGTGAGGTATTCGAGCGATCCGAGTTCGAGCGAACGAAGTTAAACTGTATTATAGACGTTAAAATATGAAATTTTATAAAAACCAGCTGATCAATTTTACAATTACCGGTACCCTCTTTGGCACGATTTCTTTGTTCCTAAGAAAAACGAGGATATTTTCAAAGGCGTTTAAGCTCCACACTACAAGTGTATGTGATACATACTCGTATGTAGTGATGAAGAATAATTATTCTACATAAGTCGCTGCTCTAGTTCAAAATAATTGTTGCACTTTTCATTGATGCATTTGAACAAATTCAATCAGACTAAATCTGAAACTTCATCTGTTGCTTTTAGTAATCTCTAAATATTCTTTCTCCAGAACTTTCTAGTATTTATCTTTGAAATGGATCGAACATTTAAAGATCGAACAATTTAAAAATGACTTCTCTGTCATTTGCTTCTGATATCAGAATATCAACATATTACATTTTTTTCATTCTATTTCCAGGTGGAATGGTCTGCAATATTTCATTGGATTGTTTTTATAAGAAAATGGGATACGATTCAGACGATTAAACTAAAAACAACAACACATAAGATAAGATAATTATGATAAGAAATCTAAACATTAAGTCAAATTAAGGTTCACCTAGCTAACGTTGATATCTGATAGAATTTGAAATTCCTTACAAATTAAAAGATATGTACGAGCTTCATGCTTTCTACGACTTCTTTCTTCTAAGACTGCAAAATATGTAAGCACACTATATGCATTGAAATATGTTGATTTAATAAAATAGAGAAAAACAAAATCCCTAAAGAAAGCCCAACACAACAAAATTAAAAACGTTGCTGGTTCGGTTTGATTGAGCCTGTTCATGGACGATACTGGAAAGTGAATCACTTTCAATAGCATTTTGAATAATTTTCTGTCATACAAATGTTTTGCTGTTTGTACACACCCGACAAGGACGTTGACTTATTCTCTGGGATATAACTATCCAACATGTTTATGGTCGGTAAGTGTTTTTGTTAAAATAGAGAAAATCAGAATCCCCAAAGAAAGTCCAACACGGCAAAATTGAAAATGTTGCAGGCTCGGTTTGGTTGAGTCTGTTCATGGACGGTACAGGTAAGTGTAAGCCATTGTAACTTGAATAAGTAAGTAAAATATTATACCATATAACCTAAAAAATGCCAGTTTAATCCAAAACTCGAACATAAATGTTGTTTACAAGTAACTTGTCATTTCATTGACATAAACTGTCTTTATTTTCTGTAAAATAATAGCCTTTCCAGTGATCCTGCTTGGTTGGGTGCCATTGCATGAGGGCTGGGTTCCTTGGTCTATTGTAAATGTCTGTGTTTCAGTTATATGCATAAGTATACGAGACTACGAGTAGTCTGTGGCGAACTTAATATTCATTACCGTCTTTATTTACAGTTACTTCACAAATAAAAGAATCAGAGTATCCCCATTTGCATTGTTAATAATAATAATAAACAAAAAGAGTATATGAATATTCCTGAACATTCCGTGACATAACAGAGAATTATGACGATATAATTAAACAAGATCCACAAAGAAGGGCGGCGTTCAATGAACGCAAGTCTGGCCAGATACAATTAACATGTCAATAGTTATTTAGCATTTTAGTAGGTGTAATCTGGGGAGACTTCACTTAAAAGACTTCCCATATCAAGTTTTATTTTATTGATATTTTGTATCCAATCAGTATACATTTAATCTTTAATACACCATAAAACCTGTATTTCATATTTACTGATGTATATAAAGCTGGCTAAATTGTATAAAATTCCAGCTGTTGGCCATAATTAATGTGGAAAGATATGATTAATGCATACACTTGAAGAAGTGATTGTAAAAGATCCACTTATTTTCAGTGTTTAAGTCAAATGCATACAAATAATATAATAGTCTAGCTGTTGTTTCAGCTGTACATTCAATATATCGCAAAGTATGGCTGTATCAAAAGTGTCCAAACTTTTCACTCTATAGAGAAGAGAAAAAATCCACAATTTTATTGTAGTACTTTTGAAAGAAAGAAAACATACACTCAATGTAGCACGTACTCTACAGATTGCCATTTAATCCAGGACTATATCGGATACTACTGCACAAGGGAGATAGTTAGGAGAGAGTGTCAGGCACTTGGCATGGGCAGAAGATTTGAAGAACTTGGGACTAATTAAAGAGAGGGAGTGACCCTACAAAGAAGGTCGGGAGAACGAGGAAAGGTGCTAGGGTGCCTGATTAAAAGCATGTCCGTGACGCTACAGGTCTGACCATAATCTTGCTTGATCTTTCGACATTTTCAATCTGATCTATTTGTAGTTTGGTGTAGAGAGACCATACTTCGGAAAGTTATTCAAGCTGCATTTACTTATTTACGGAGGGCAAGAAAGATCTGGTTACATATTTATCACTGAATTATTATGTTATTCTTGATATTAGATAATGTTATAAGAGCGTTCCGCGTCATATACGTAGCATCTAATTTCATCAATCGACATCTACATGATACTGCTTAACAATCAATTCTGATTATGACTAGCAAGCGCGTTGTCAGGGAACTGTTAATAAAAGACATTATTTATATGCAAATTTAAAAAGATAAAAGAATTAAAGTTCTATAAGACTATAATAATTTAAAAGACATAGTGTGCAAATTAGAATTTGTAGAATGGGTGAAGCCTCTCAGTAAAGTTTAAAGATGTTAAAACAGGGGTTAGACTGATTAGTTCGAGGAAGGCTATTCCAAAGACGTATGCTCCTAGGAAAGAAAGAATTTTGAGGGTATATTGTGTCCTCGAGTAGAGGTATCAGATAGTTTAGATTTCTTGTTTGAGTAAGGTGTTGGTGGTCAACAAAGACAATGTTGTTCTGGATTTCATACAAGTAGGTCACAACACTGATGTTTCGACGCTGGGACACTAAGATGTGCTCCATCAATTAAGATGCTATGCATTTGAGGGAGGTTGGTCTTTAATTGTTGAACCTTCAATGTGACACTTAAATTTTAAAGGTGCCATTCAATGAAGTAAGCCTTCTAGATATTATGCTCTTTTTTCATTAATAAGTTAAGCAGATTGTTAAGACTTTTTAAAGTTTCTTCACAACACCTTCATATTACTTTTTATATATAATGAAATAATGTATGTCTCTGTTATTTGAAATGAATTAAGCTTATTACTTGAAAATTAATGAATTGGTGTTTTTCCACGTTCGATTTAGTGGTCTGATACACGTACTCCATTTTGGAGAGTTCTCAACCGGCGTAGTGACACCTCATCACTAAAAATTTAACATATTTTACTTCTTTTGAATTAAAAGGTATGTATATCTTCATTATTTTTACAGAATTACAAAAGTAGAATAACAATTATTCGAATTTAGTTTAAAGTATTTGACAAAATATGGCCAGTATTTAATGAAATTGGTGTAATATATGCAACTAAGTGCTGTAATATTCGGATAGGACCAGCTGCTAAAAATATTTCAACCAGTTATCAATTTTTAAAGAAGAATTGTTTATGTTTATGATTTAAGATAGCGAACAAATATGGGATTTAGTATTTCTATCATCTGAAACTTAAGAATTATTTCTTAAAACTGCTGTCACTTAATATAATACTGCTTCAAAATCATTTACAATTACACTAAGCATTGAATTGAAAGACAGCTATGAGATACCAGGGAGTCCGGGAACCAGACCCTAGCTCATATTGAGTAGATCCCTTGGTTCTTTTACGTGCCCAGTTTATAGCACCGATACATGTGAGGATTACCTGGATTTCTTACTAGTAGCCCGGGGTTCTATGATATCACTGTACATAACATTTATCGGAAAATATTTGAATATACTGGCATGCGAGCAGTTCTTGTACAAAAATCATAGTAACTTACACATTATTTTTTATTACGCTCACTCACCCAAAAATTGAATGTTACACATCGATATTCAGCTTGTCACCAAATCATGGAAGTTCCATCATGTTCTAAACATAGAATAACACTTAGTTTATATCTATCTTCTTCCTTAAGTTTATATCTATGTTCTTCCTTAGAGTCAAACCCCTGCTGGGGACCTAGACAGAGGCCTAATATGGAGTACTGAAGTTATCCATTATTTTGTATTAAGAGAAATAGTTCCCATACATAAAAATTGTATAACCCATTATTGTTATACAATTTTGTTATATCAGACCTATTTTTCATTTATAATTGTTGAACAGACCATTTTCCCAGAGGTAAATAGATGTAATTCAGGAAATAGAGCACAGACTAAATGCTGGTATCTATTACCCAGTACTGTTACCCCAATACATTCACATGCAATGGAATGCTTGTATGCATGATATTTTACACATCAAAGCCATAAAATTATTTAATATAGTAATATAGGTCAAGTTTTCATCAAATTGCCTACTTATCTGTACACAGGTTGTAATTAGTGGAAATCCCTTTAACAGGTCTGTAAGTATTTTTGCGCATTCACATAGAAGGAATCCCCCAGAGTAAACAAGGTCACGTTTTGATAACGCACATGTGAAAGTGATTTAAAATGAAAATTTTTATTCGTACTGCCAAACTGACACTTAAATTTTGTCTGGTTTATGCATCTGCTTGATTTGATATCAATTTTTGATAGAGGTGCGCGGTTTAACTGGTATACCGGTAAACCACGGTCCAAGACATCTGCGGTACGTACCGCGGTACAGACCTAGAAAACCGGTACTTTTAGCTCTAATTTAAAGCAATTTAAGATCCGTAAAATGTACTTAATTAAAAAACTTTTTCTGTTGTATATGTTAATGTTTCTTTGAGTAAACCTTTTTGCAAACAACTTTCGCCGACTATTATCATTCTTCGATAGTTCTTAGCGAAAATTGAATGCTTTATCGATTACCGCATGTAAGCCAGAATTGTCGACTGGCATGATCACAGTTGAAGAAGCAAGAATTGTTGACTTACATTTACTTGTCCAAATATCGCTTATTTGATACGAAAACGAATCGTAAAGATTGATAATTCATGAAGGCATTCCTTGCATAAAATTAGGGTGTTACTATTTTAAGTATTTATATAAATAGCGACCAATCAGGCTAGGGGTTTTCCTTAAGTCACGCACTTACTGCATGCGCATGGAAATTAACTAATTATAGAACGGCGTAGAAACTGGATTAAAAGTAATGTTCGTTCAACTAATGAATATTAATTAAGCAGTAACAGGGTCAGCAGTTTTCTATGTGATAATTTTAATTTGCTTTTGGGGTACATGTTTGTTTTGGTTTTTGACACAGATTAATTAAATACTTTGCCCTTGCAATAAAAAAATACAATAACAGCTGGGACTCTGTTATAAAATTAACCGACAAATAAATATTTGTCATTGGCTAACGTGCATTTGACCTATTATTTTATTAATCAATAAGCAATAAAAACATTTTATTTTTCCATTTTAACTATGCAATTTATACAACAGTTGTTAAATGTTGAAAGAGACCAATATGTAATTAAAAAACAACAACAACAAAAACAAGAACTGATCCATGACCCAATTAATTTATGATTGTCAACATGCGAAAGTACCTGATTGAAAAAAGTTAAATGATGCTTTGATTAATCAGTATTTTCTAGATCTGCTTAAATTTAATATTTGAAATTCTATACCAGCCTACCTTAATTGATACTTATTATTAACCTATAGCATACAATGAAAATCCGTGGTATACCGCGGTTTATACCGTGGTTTTTAGGAAAAACCGTGGTATACCGTGGTATTTTCTTTCTGGCGGTACCCAACTCTAATTTTTGAAGAAGGCAAGTAGAAATCAAGCATTTAAATGAAAAATACGGGTACTGCGTCTGTACGGGAACTGCTCGCATGCCAGTAAATATCATAAATGAATGAGATTTTCCTTCCATCTTATAAGAAAACCTTTTCCAGAACTGTTTGTCAAAAAATTATTTCAAAAGAACCAATAAAAATGACATTTTTTAAATATTTCCAATGTCTGCCACTTTGGGCAATTTCAGAGGAGGTTACTTTGGTATCACGGTAATCCCCAAAAATGCAAGTATGGAAGGTTAGATGGGTCAAAACTTTCAAGTTAAGTTGTAAAAAACTTCCAACAGTTAATTTGCTATAAAATTAAAACTATATGAACTGACTACATGTATATGTCAGTATATGTGATTATAACATATTTTAATTTACTGTGTAAAAACCAGTAAGGAAAATAGTTTTTAAATATGAAGGTTATATAAAATAGTTTTCTTGCCACGAATACATTCATTATTCACAAAATTAAATTTATTGGCAGATGAAAATGACTCTAGTGTGCAAGTTTTACAAATATTAGCATCATCACGTGTTGCTTTTACTACCAGTCACAGAAAATTTAAATACCTTGATATCATAGAACCCGTGATATTATAGGAACTGAGTATACACCTCTAGGTAGGTGGGAAACGCTGAAAGTGTCTCTGAAAAATCCCAAGGATGTTACCCAGGATTGAACAAGGGACCTGAGTCCTCTGGTGTCTGTCAAACTAAAAACTTGTCTGGACTACTCCTAAAAAACTACAGGTGCAATTTCACCAAACTTTACAGGAATGATAAGCACCAAGTTTAGTTGTGCATATCTTCGGCATTTTCTGGTCCATTGTTTTTTGTCAGAGTTATGGCCTTTAAATGATATTTATTTTTTTAAATTTTGTCTGGACTACATCTTTTATACTACATGTACTAAAGTTTACTTGATTGATCGCTGTCTCAACTACTTGTGCATAATAAAGCCATATAAGAGTATTTCATATATTTTCCGGTTAAATGAATTTTGGCTGAGTTACTGCCCTTGAATAAAAGAGTGTTTAGGCCTGATAATGATATTTGTGTTGCCTGAAACACAGTTGTTGCAACATGTATGCTAGAAAGAAGATGTGACATACAGGGAACAAACTGTTCAATCACCCATCAATACTACTGCTTTACTGGCTATCATTAGGGACACATGTGATGGCTTAAACTAGAGATAAAACTTGTTTGATTTTTCACCGATAATGGCTACAATTGTCTGTAACTTTGTAATTAATCAATGGATTATTTTGATACTTGGACAAAACAACCTTTTGGATAAGATCTTCTAAAAGGTTGAACAGACCTTGACCTTAAGCTTTAAATGACCTTGACCGTCGGGGTCAAAGTTGAGAATTTTGGTAAAGTTGTCATAATTTTGTAATTTAATTTTATGTACTGATTTGATTCATACATAGACAAAACAACACTTGTGACCAAACAGATATGTGAAATAATTTAGATATGACCTTGACTGTTAAATGACCTTGACCATCCAATGATTGAATTTTGATTATATTTTGTTAACTTTGTCATTTATTTTTGGAAAGGATTCATACTTGGACAAAACAACAAGTGTGACTAGACAGTCCTATTAAAACAAGAAAACTTTTTTGTGTTTGATTTTTAAAAAAAAAATTCAATTTATGTCACTGAAAGGTCTATATGATGTGCTGAGGCTGGAATTCATAACTGCATCAATTTAGAGAAAAAAAGTAAAAGGACCATTTTAATAGTGTTACAATACATTGATTATGATATATTTTTTATTTGGATTTTCTGTTTGAATGATTAAGTTTGTTACTTTGTTATCTTGTTTCTTTGTATATTTTCAGTTTTAAGTGTGGTTGGATTGTTTCATTTAATGAAGAAATAATAATCATCCACATTTTAAGGACACCCACAATCCCCTTAGATCAGCAATATCTGCAGGCTTCATTAAGGTATTAGGACCCTAATGGGCACTATCAGGAACTAAAAAATTGACATCATAAGTCAGATGTATAACTTAAAGTACACCTGTATGCAAAATTTAAACAAAGTTTACCGTAGGGAAATCAAGTTATGGCCACTTTTCTGAACTCAAGCTAGGATGTTATGAGGGCCCTTTATTAGAAAGTAGGAACCTTTAAATAATCTGCAATAACATTCTAATGAACAATGTTTTCCCATTAATTTTTGGTAAGAAACAAATAGTACCATTCAGCTAACAATCCAAATAAGCAAAATTATGATTTCTCCTTAAAATTTATGAAATCTGTATAAAAATGTTACCCTACCCCACCCATTTTTACCACGTGTCTGACCATTTTTCTACTTAGGGAGCCTTATTTAAAAAATTCTTAAATTTTACCCAAATGAGTGCCTGTTTTCAAAGTTTCCCTAAATTTTTAAAAAAGTATATTGGTTGATCTTGTAAAATATGAAATACTTTTACCGTCTAGTTTTGATTATATTACACTTTGAAAATATCAGGTACCATATTTATTACTATATTTAGCATAATTTAGCCAATAAATACCTATATAGATTAAAAAATCAAAATTAAACACTTTTTTCTTTCCAAATGGGACATGAGAGATACATAAATAATGTTGAAAGAAAAAAAAAGTTGACCCTTCTGGGGATTGAACCCATGGCCCTCATTTTCAATGTAGTTAACAGTAGTTCTAGCCTATTTGAATACTCTTCAAAGCGGAGGTAATGCATTAGGGTGCTAATACCTTAATATACAAAATGTATACATGTACTTGTAAATATGTACAATTATTCACTGTATGATTGCTAACAGAATTTACACATTTTACATTTTGATTTATCATAGATCAATAATGGACAATTGTAAATTTCAAAGCAAGATATAAATTATCAAATATTTATATTAAGAAGATAAAAGGTAATGAACTTTATTTTTGTATTTCAGAAAAACATAAAAATGATAGGACATATAATAATTCTCCTGGTAGTGTGCGTTTGTTACACTAGTCAGCAAGGTCACCCACCTGGAGTTCCTCCTACCATGAACCAAGGTCAACCTGGAGGTCATGGTCAGGCTGCAGGTCATGGTCAGCCTGGAGGTCATGGGCATGGAGAAGATATAAGAGAAGGTTTAAGGGTGAATTCACATGATGCAGAGTAAGTAAAGACAAGAATGATTCTTCCTTTTTGATCACAGACAGTAAATCAGAGCATTCAAATAGAAATAGTTCATGTACAATTTCAGAGAGTAGGAAAGGGTCTCTAAAAATGTGCATTATTGTATTCGTAATTCTTTCCACTTTTTTTTATAGAATTTACAATTAATGTTTTTCAGTGATATCGTACCTTGTAAATAAACTTGCTTGCTTTGTTTATCTTACATATTTATTTAAATGAAAGTGTTTTAATAATTTCTGTATGACTGATGATAACATATATATTTAGACTAAGATATTACATGTTATAGATAAAATTTCATCAATTAGGCAGTTTTGAATATTAGTATTCTTTCTGTTTTCAAAAATAGGTTGTCCAAAAATCCATAATTCTAATTGGTTGGTTAAATGTTCATCGAAGTAGTGAAGCTATAATCAGGGGAAGTAATTGCTGTCTTGTATTACATACTGATAATAGTGGTTATCCTTCTTGAACTTTCAGTTCAGCCATGTTTGACTTTATAATTTGTATTTTAATTTATATTGCTGTACAGTATTATATACTTTACCTTTTTATTTCTGAGTTGATTCTGGTAGTGCTTGGGCATTAATGAAGCACTGTCTCTAATTGAAAAATAAATGAGTAAATGGTTGGAAAGCAGTACCTGTACACACTTATAGACCACTTATCATGTAGACTAATTTACTATTTTTAGACTACTCATCATAATCACTAACCATATTATTTGTAGACCAATTCCTATGTATAATTTTTTTTTAAAGAGTATTACATTAGTTTATTGTAATCTGATGTAATTAATACTTTATTTATTTTCAAATTCTTTACATTGTCTACAGTTAACCTGCACCACTACTTATTTGCCATGTCTGTACATTCATTCATTAATAGATTTGAAGTGAAGTTCACCTTGATAATTTAGTTAGTTAGTTTAAACATATTTTATTTCAAACATTTTCACACAAACATTTATTACATACAATCATTAGTTACATAATAAACAATGCTGAAAAAGGATTAGATCCGAAAGCATACAATGCTTATAGAGGTCTTTTCCTAACATATAATTCATTACTGTAAATTTGGCGGTAAATAACATGTTCGAAATAGTATATAATGAAGAACATTTTATTGATGATAAATGAAGAAAGATGAGGACGGCAATGATAATTTGATCACTGTTCATATATTACAGACATATAAAGGAACATTTAAAAGATGTTGTTGATAAACCCAAGGAGGAGATGACAGAAGAAGAGTTAGAATTCCATTATTTTAAACTTCATGATTATGATGGTAACAATAAATTAGATGGTACAGAAATAACAAAGGCAATTACACATTTTCATGAAGGTAAGATCATAAGATGCTTGTTTATTTACATGCAAATATAAAGTTAAACTTCCTTCGCTCAGATTGCTCAAATACCTCCCTTCATAAGAACACACCAACCAGTCGTGGCAAAATTTCTATATAGTGTGATATTGTTCTACCACAGATTGCTCGAACACCTATCACTTGAACCTTATCGCTGGTCCCTTCTGCAGAAAATAGTGAAAATCACACCTTTTCGGTCAAACACAAAAAGACTACAAAAGTTGTGGGTCGATAAGTTCTGAATTAGTTACAGTCGACGTCACATGTTTTTAACACCTTATGATCGTGATAAAGGTAATTAAGGTTAAATGATACAAAATTAGAGGTTTTCTTACTGATTGGTTTGTTATGATAATATTGTTTATTTACCATCTTTAGTAGCGATACAAATAAAAAATACCTTGCGAAATAATTGAAATATGCACAAATTACTATAATTATATCTATGTATGAAATTGTACAAAAATAACACCCAATGAAATGTTCTTATTTTCAATCTAGACTATAAAATGATAAAGGCTTAAACACTAACAAAACTGTGATGCCTCAGAGCCAGGGTCTCAATCTCTTAAATCATAAGTAGGAATACTAATATCTGTAAGGAAATTTTGCGAAACAAAAAAAAAAACAAAAAAACTTTGATTTGAAATTCATGATATGTTGTCTTGTGATTTTGGCTTGTGGCTCACATCTCAAGCTATTATGGCTTTAATCAACACATAATGTTTTGTCTGATTGTTGATGTGTTTATGGCTATAATTTAATAATATACTTGTAACTTTATCAGCAAATAAGTTTGATCTTTTTCTCTCAGGAAATAAATACAAAAAAGGTAAGTGAAAAAATTGGAAAGACAGGGACGGAGGGTTTTTCACTAGATTAATTATTTGATTTTGTTAATTATTATGTATACAATATTGATATTTTATGTTGAATTAAAGAATACCTAGCATTGCATGTAAATTTAAGCCTTTTTTCAACACCTTATTACACCAAATAGATTGAGAGTTGCAAGAGTTTATACCTGAGGTTAGTGGCAATAAAGAAAGAGATTCCAACAGTTTAGACAACTTCAGCCTATATATTCAGTCTGACCAGGCCCTATTCATTTAGCTGCTTGATTTTAGTTTGTTATTGAAATTTTTTTTTAAACTGATTATTGACTACTCCAGTTTTAAAGCAAGTATGCAGATTAAAGCAGGTTACTGGTTAAGTCAATGTTAGTTCTCTTAAAACATAAGAGCCGTGTCATGACAAAACCAACATAATGGGTTTGCGACCAGCATGGATCTAGACCAGCATGCGCATCCGCGCAGTCTGATCAGGATCCATGCTGTTGGCTATCAGTTTCTCTACTTGTAATAGGGTTTGTAAGCGAACAGCATGGATCCTGATCAGACTGCGCGGATGTGCAGGCTGGTCTGGATCCATGCTGGTCGCAAACCCATTATGTTGGTTTTGTCGTGACGTGGCTCATATCTAAGTAATTGAAAACTTGCTTATGACAATCAAAAGTGTTTTTTTTTCTCCAATTATTTTAATTAAATTTGTGCTGATAACATACTTGAAAATGGTATGTTTTTCTCAAAGAGATGTTGAATAATTATAGGCCCATGACATTGGAGAGGAAGATGTAAATGTTTGAAAAATATGATAAAAAATATTACAGAGCTGAGATAAAGTAATATACAGGAAAATAATTAAATATTAGAACAAGGTTTCGTATTAAGATTTTGAAGATGCTTGCTTTCTACATTGTTTGTGGGAAAGAGATTGTGTCATTATAAATAAAAATATGGGATTTATGAAAAATTTCATATGACAAATCAGTTTTGATTTTATGCCTAGAAAATGGTGGCATAATACCTTTTTAATTGTCCATCCATCAGCCCGCTTTTTGTTTGTGCATATAGGTTTGCTATTTCATGAATGGATTTTAGAATAGTCATGCATAAATGTATAGCACATGGAGACAATGTGTTGCAAGCGATACTTAAGGGTCAAGGTTGCAATTCCATTATTCTTCTTGAAAGAATTTTTCTAAAAGTCAAAAAATCTGTCATTCCCATTAGATTTTACAGCTTGGCATAAATGGGTTTAACATTATGGTCAATTGTGACTAGCAAGAATCAAGCCTCAAGGTCAACATGTGATTTTTTTATACAAATGCATTGATGATTGTGTACAGTGAATTAATCTGTCATTATTGGATGGATTCTAAAATTAGTTTGCAAAATGTTTTGGTAATCATGAATCTGTGTGGCCTGCAAGAATAAGGACCCAGCTAAAAGGTCAAGGTCCTAAGTCATAATATGTTTATGAATATAATTATGGTCTTTGTCATTAATGGATGGACTTTGGTATAATTGATTTATGCATAACTGATGAGCTAATGTGTCTCATGCAAAATCAAGACATGTAGCTCAAAGGTCAAGGTCACACTTGTCTTAAGTATGTTCACAACAACAGGTCTTGTTTTTTTTTTTGTTTTTTTCCTTGTTTTTTTCATTTTGAAATATTTTGTGGGATTGACTTGATTTTGGCGTTTTCATGCAAGTATCATTTATTACCCTCTATTTCTATAATTAAACATATAAAATATATATGGAAGAATAAGAAATCCTTACAAATAATAGTTCAGTTAAATAATGAGATGCTTTATGTTGGATTGTACAGCATCATTAATTTCTGTGTGTTTTTTCACCCCAATATGTCACAGTTTGAAGCATTATGTGACCACAATAACAACAATTTCCTTGCTCCCTAATCGTCCACTGTGAATTCCTTTCAATTACAATGATGGTCATTTTGCCTGATTGCTTCTGATCAAATATCAGGGTCTCTGGAGAGACGTCATCTTCTCTACGCTACATTTGTTCTCTCTTTGTCATAAATCCCTGCAGCGCAAACTTTAACAGGATTTCTTTGTATCAATTGTCTCTTATAGAAGTGATAATTGAAAAGTAGATGGGTTCCTTTTTTTTACAAGTTCTATGATTTTTTTATTATTTTACAAGAGGTTTTGTTTAATTTACCCCTGAAAAACTGTGATACAGATAAGAAGATTAAAAAAATTACAGTTTAATATGATACATTTTGCATTTAAAAAAAATTGTATTTATCATTGTTCATACGTATTAAAATATCGTCAGGTATTTTAGTGAATTTCTATGGATTTCAGTGAATTTATTGACCTTCAGTATAGTAATTAGTTAAAAAATTTAACATCTGCATTGTACATAAAGCAAATATCAATCAAATGTTTTATAGTTTAACTCTCCGTGAACTACTGGTATTAGCAAACTTTCAGAACAAATCTGGTCTTCTTGCCTTAAAGGATCTATAAAAGGTCAATAACATAAACCACCTTGATTTTGTAAAAGGCTATAAAGGAGAATGTTAAATGTTAAACCATTACAAATTAAATCAAAACAAAATTGATTTCTTTATGAATGACAATGTGATACAAACATTTCAGGAAGCTGTCAATAGCTCAATTGACGACAGAATTTAAGAAATTTTACTTGTGACATGCAGCTACAACTTTCTTCTAGTTCTCTTAAAAAAAATAAACTAACCTGTTGGATATTTTTTTATAAGAAACTTTTTATTGAGTGAATGATAATTCATCATTCTCTTGTCACTTGTATTAACTATCACCTCATTAGGATTCTTGTTAACACTTGACAATATTTGATTGATATACTTCTGTCAACAAGACCCACCTCCTTGTGCATACATAATGAGCAAGGAAGACATAATTTTTCCAATAGTGTCTCTCATTGGATAAGACGCTGACAGAGAGAGCAATTCTTGACAATGTTACTTTTAACAATTTTTTTTTCATTCCTTGTATTATAGTTGAAGAATATGTACCTACATTTTTGTCTCCATAATATTTATATCATAGTTGGCATTAAATGGCTAATACAAAGTGTAATTATCATTTTGCAATGATCTGTGAATAATGGGTTTAGAATCAAAATTTATTATAAAGAAGTATTTTTACTATGTACACACATATTTGACAGAAAATTTTGAAATAAACATTTTGTTTTGATCAGAAGGAAGAGAGTATAGTTAGAGTAACTAAGTCTTTGAGTAGTCTTAATGGAACTATGTTTACCATTCATCATAAAATTCTCTACAGCTGGAACACTTTGAATTGACAGCTCTGATGAAAAAGTTTCATACATAAGTTGATTTATAACTATGCTAAATTACCAGATACAAAGAATTTAGCGTTAGAGTTATTGTACTCACCCAGGCTTCAGTGTCTGGGCCGGCACCAGTGTTGCCATCACACTTTGGTTAGGGTTTTGTGTGCAAGTTTTTTCTCCAAAACTACTCAAGGGAATTGGGCAGAAACTTGACACATTTGTTCTCTGCAGATATCTTACATGATGGGCACATATTCTATAATTTTAAGTTCACTTTCTTACCAAGTAATGCCCCTTTTCTAACAAATTGTCAACCAAGCTGTGTTACTGACAGCTCTTGCATGACATTAACCAATGAAAGTAATGGGTAATAAGATTAGCTGTCAGCATTGAAACTTTAATTTGTCAAGTATATTACTTTTAACAATATAGTATAATGGAGGAGGAATCATGTAGGGGTAGAGCACTTTACCACTAATATGAATGTCATATAGAAAGTGCTGTGTTGAGATCCCCAAAAAGGATTTGACTTAAACTTTGGAAAATTAAACAATAACCAAATCAGATGATTTTATTTTCAGTTTTGATCTTTGTATAAGTAAGAAAAAAAAATTAATTAACAACAAAATGCTAGACAAAGGTGTTGTTGTTTCTATTTCAGATGAGACGAGTACACAAGAGAAAAAAGCATTTGATCAGAAAGTATTTAGTGATGAAGAGATATCTAATATAGTAGATATGGTGCTTAAAGAAGATGATTTAAATGGTGATGGGTATGTATTATATATCTTATTACCTATCAAATATACATCATTTCTTTATTATGCTGCTTTTATTTCCATGTATTATTAATAAAAAATAAGACTACAGATTCATATAATTCACATTTAGTGAGAGATAACACTCTAGTCAGAGATATCTGTCAAGAGTTCAGTGTCTACTAGACTACTAGCATGATTGTCATAGAATGAAACTTGGTTTTAGCCATTGTATGGCTTTAACTGGCGTCCATTGCCAAGTGGCTAAGGTCATTGACTTCAAACCACTTACCCCTTACTGCTGTGGGTTCTTTTCAAATCCCAACAGGGACTTTGGATTTTTGCATGTGAGAAAGCTATCCAGCTAGCTTACGGAATGAGATGGTTCTTCTCAGGTGCCCATTCATGTCTAAAATATTGCAAAGAAGGACACCTGAGGTTTTCCTCCATTAGTAAAGCTGGAATGTCTTTGAAATGTTTTGGTGTGCAAATATTAAGGCATGAACAATATTAAAGTTCTAGTATGTATTGTCACTTGTGAAGAATGAGTTGTCTGCTTTATAATTCTCATTGCAAAAAAATTTAAAGGATGATTAGAATAATTATCTGTTTATTATTTCAGTTATATAGAATATGTAGAATTTGTAACGGCGCAAAGAAAAGCACGAGGGGATGGCAATAAGTAAAAACAGTTGACACTACAATGATCTGCCTTTAAACATTATCATCATTGTCATCATTATTTCTTTCACCATCTTGCACAGGGAAATTCATCATAGTCATCACTATCATCATTTTGTTGTGACACAAGTGATTCCATCTTGATTTGTCTGTGACATCAGTGATTACATCATTATTTCATCTGTGACATAAGTGATTGTTCCCATATTTGGTCTTTGACTTCAGTAATTACATCATTATTTAGTCTGTGACATCAGTGATTAAGTAACCATTTTGTCTTTGAAATCAATGAATAAATTACCATTTTGTCTGTGACATCAATGAATAAATTACTATTTTGATTGTGAAATCAGTGGTGACATCATTATAATGTCTGTGACATCAGTTATTACATCATTATTTTGTCTGTGACATGAGTGATTGCATCACCATTTTGTCTGTGACATAAGTGATTGCATCACCATTTTTTCTGTGACATAGAAAGAGTGGATCACCAGTGAAAATGACATCATTTCATATTATAGCAATTTCAAGGTATGATAAAATCTATCACACTGATGATTGACAATTTTGCAATAGAACCATTTAAATGTTTAAGCTTTCAAGTGATTTATGTTTTTTTGTTGTATATTGTATTTAATCTTTTTTATGGTGATGGCATTATAATCAAAATAAGACAGCCAGATACATTTTTTTAATGTCATTTCCTCCCGTATATTAAGCCTTGCTTTGAAAGTTACACATGTCCTTCTAAGAGATATGAAATGTAATAGTTATGTTTTCTTTTCACCTTTTACATATAAAGATAGGTCATTTCAAATTGTCTACTGTGCTTGCAGGATAAGGAAGGCGAGTTTCAATGCCTCTTATAACCCTTTAATGCCTATTTACAGGTGCAATATAAAGTTTGATATTATAGAAAATGATGGTCATACATTGGATCACTTTTAGAAATATTGAGGAAGGATTATTATTTGTTTGGTTTATAAATTTTTATTTGGAAAATTAAAAAAGAAACAGCATGTTGAATGAAAGTGAAATAATAAAAAACATCATCACTATGGAAATAAAAGTAATGTCAGGATTAAAAAAAGGAATTCCGTAAAATGTAAGGTTATTTGCGGCATGTGCTCTTATAAGCTTGGTGGGTTTTTTTACATAAAATGTTATTAAGTTTGATTATTTAATGAAGTCTTAAGAAATTTGCACATTTGATTTTAATCTTTCTTAAAATCACAGGTGTTTATTATTTTATTTTTTTTATTTTATTTTTTTTTCACTACAGCTTTAATTAAAAAGAACATAAGCATATTATTGTCCAAGATTGTTTTTGCTACAGCTTTAATTAAAAATAACCTAAGCATAATTTATACTTTAATAAAGACTTAGTATATTACTAGATAAATAAGTATTTGTAATATATCCAAGAATGTTACATCCATCTTTTGTCATCTTTATTTTTTTTTGTTAGATAGAACAGCAGTTTTTTGCTGAATTTATTTTTCATGTGCTCATTTCTTACCACTTTGTCAGTGTTTCCTCTAGAAATTGGATGTTTTAGATTGTTTTACCTTTTTACTACGAGATGCATGTGTATAATAAGAGCATATCTTAATGATTATATAATTATTTGTGGATAAAATATCCCCATATTGGGATTGACCAAAAACATTTCGTGGTGCTCAAAATCAATATATTGGTGACTTATTTGCATCATTGTTACAACAGTGATTCTCATTATTCATTATGCCCATTAACTTAACTTAATGGTTCGATGTATGTTTGAACCCAACAAAGTGGTCCGTACTCTCAGTGCGCGAAAGGGCGGACGGACCCTCATTAAGCATAAGATAAACAAAAAACATCTTAAAAATTATTTGCATAACACCTTTGAAAATGTCCGCAGTATTTTGCCTTTTGGCAGAACGTACAAGAAAGTGTGATTTGTTTGGGTGCATAATTGTTGTTTTATACTTGTGATGTTGTTATTTCATTTATGTGAAATCCAGTATACAATTTGCTTTACTAATATATATATATATAAATTTATATATATACTAGGGTTAGAAACCATAATACAATATAGTATTAGTATTGATATCAATGAGCTGTAAAAGAAATTGTATTTTTTATCTTTGTTGAAATTAAGTACCGGTACATATTGAAGGGCAGTGTCATATATACAAATATTTGCCAGTATTGCTTTGAAGTGACATGTGAATAATATCAAGATTCCTCTCTGAGAGGTGGACTGTTGCAAATATGAAAAAAAATATTGATCTTTTAGTTTTAAGTTGCTTTTATACTATGACACTTTTTCTTGTATTTTTAAAATGACATGCCAATCATGTACAAGTAAGTTGTGAGATAGTAGCTTGGACTTAGTAATGTGAAATTTTTATTGCATTTACAGCACACTAAGACATATTTGTTAAGAATTTGTATGGCACAAAATTTACTGGACTGTGTACGATTTAAAATAACTGTTTTATTTTGGAAATGTCTTTATAGCATATCATGTAATATTTTATACAATAGTAATGGCATAAAATTAACTTTAGTACTTGTGTTCAAAATTTTAGAGAATATGTTAACATGCATAGATCCTACATGAGCCGAATCTGTCTGATTTTAAGTATCAGATTAGTATAATATTATTACAATAAGAATTTAACTGCACATATTTGTTAACCAAAAAACAAAATACAAATACAAGACAATGTTTTTATGGAAATAAAAGGTCAGAGTTGGGATCTCTATCAATAGAACAATGTAATATGATTTACTGTGCTTGTATTTTAGATTTCATTGCATTGGTATAGACAGGCCAGGTGATCTCATTTTTGCTGTCTGTCCAGGCTATTGGCTATTTAATTTTTTCCTTTTTTTTTTACACTTAATCCCCTTAAAATCACAATGGGCTATTCCAAACTTAAACCAGGTGAAATCCATTCTTCAAATTAAGGGGTATAAGGGCTTTAAATGTTTATGTTGATATTAGATATTGATATAGGGTCCAGTTTTATTCAAAATATGTTGCTATGGAAACTTAATGTTATATTACAAATGTTGTTTTTTTTTCTGTAGGAATCATGGAAAATAATATGTCATAGATAATTTTATTACTTTTTATGTTGTCATTATTGTTCAGATATATTATTGTTGCAAAAGTTTTACATGTTGGGAGACGTTATTTAGAATATGAGGTTGTTGATTCTAAGAGCTTCTTTGAAAAAGCAACACTTGTTGTTTTCCTTATAAAGTTTCTACAAAATTGCTAGTCAAAAATTTTGTTGTACATGTATTTATAAATAGTGTAATTTTGTCAGTCGAGTATGTTACACAGTGCAAACATTCTGGTAAATATCTTAAAAAAGAAAGGTGTTCCTTTATATATTTAAAAGTAAATTATTTAAATAAAAGCTATTAAAAACACTAGGCAGCAATTATATATACAGGTTCTGGAAATAGTAATACAATAAGATTTTAGTTTTTTCAGTATTTTTGTTTTATAGCTTATGTATTTGGTTCGGAAAGCAGAATAATATGTGTAGATTTAGATATTTTTTTCTGAATTAATTTCAATATGAATCATGTTACAAAGTTGTCTCATAATGTATATATATTAATATTGTAAGAAATTCTAGATATTTATATATATTGTAGTCAGATATTAAATATTGTTGTGCACATATATGTTATCTTCTGCTCACTAAATCATTGCAAAATATTTTCACTGTCAGAATATTGACAATATAATGTGTCGGTCATTGGATAGCTTTTTCACCTAGATTTCTTTATTAGAACACTTTATATGAAATCAGATATCAATTTTTGTTCTTGCCATTTTAATGATAATTTTTGCTTTAGATAAAGTTATTAAATTTGTGAAATCCTCAAAATGACATTTTCATATTAAAGAAGCTCAAATTATGTTCACAGGAAAAACTGCCATTGATTTTAACTATAAAAGATTTTGATTACTTTTTCCAAATGTTCACAACTCTTTATTTTACTTTTCACAATCACAGGTTCACAGGCACGAGACAAACTATCAATATAACTCTATATACTTAAATATAATCTTTATATATAGTATATATGAGCGTTTACAGGAATATTGATGTGTCTAGCTCCTGTGTTTATATTGGTTTTTTAAATTCACAATCACAAAATCATTTAGCAAGCAACATGTACTGTTTGTCTATCAAAGAAGGTTTAACATAAATTTTTTCTGTGTCTGTTTTGGTTTTATTCAAATTAAAACAAAGTTGTGTTCATGTACAGTCATCTGAATTAATTTAAACTCAAGCACACTGAAATTACATTGTGTCTTCCAGCATTAGTGAGCATTACTCATGCAAATATCATTTGACCATGTTCATTTCTAGTCTGACAGTATAGACTATATATATACATATATATGAAGATTATAGCTAGTTAAATATGCACATGCGCAGAAAAGTTGATGTTGAATTAGATGATACAAAATTGATTGAATGTTATAAAAAGTCAGAGTACTTCAGTTGTTTTTTAATTTGAACAAGTGTGTGTTTTGCATTCCTTAAGGCAATGGTTTTAAAATGATAAGAAATGATAGTGCACTTTCCAGATATGCATTTTTTTGTTAGATTTTTGCAGAATTTAGATGTTGAATTAATGCCAAACTTTATGTAATAAATAGCTTTAATACCACACACTTACATTAGATGTAGATTAATTAAAAGCCATTTAACTTAGTTTATTAATTAATAGTGAAGTAATGAAGTGAAGACTGTAAACTAGGAATAGATGCAGGACTATGTAGGAGAGTATAGAACTTTAACTTTTACAAGCTTGGATGGAATTAATTATTTACATTCTTGTATATTTTTCTGTGGTGAAAAAAGCACATAGTTTTTGATGTCATCTATCAAATCAAAACTTTTACCTTCACTGAACTACAACATACTATAGATTATAGATGTATATATACTATAATTTATTTACCTACCAACGCATTTTCCAATCAAAACTTGTTTAAACATACATTCCAAAGTATTTAAACTGATCTGAGACTAGCATGTTTGTAATATCTATAACGGTACTGTATGTGTTTGGAGATATTTTGTTATATGGTGTTTTAAATGATTCTGGTGTATATGGGGTATATTTTATTGTTGAATCAATTGTAAATGTTATTGTATTAAAATAATTTTACAAATACTTTTCATGTGTTGACAGATATTTTTTTGTAATCCTCATATAAAATGGCAGAGGGATCTAAAGCTGTTTGCTCTGTTCATATTAACACCTCACAGACTGTTATATTGAATATGTTTGGTCGTTTCAGGATGTGAAGCAAATGTTATTGGTTTTATCCTGTTTTTTTGAATATATAGTAAATAAAACACGGAGCAACAACTTGAGAGGCCAAACAGTTAACATGTGACCTTCACATTGTGTTTGCCACTTAAAACCAAACAACACAATGGCTTAACCATTATGCAATGCACATTTGGTTTTTGCTTTTCTTATAAAAATTAAAAGGTCTAACATTTTGATGATTTGACAAACAAAAGAATTGATAAATAATTTGAATAAGTAATAAAGAATGATCACATTCATAAGATCCATTTGTGCTAGCATTAAGTATAATGACAAATACTTGATACATGTATTGTAAAAAAGAGTGCTAAATCTCACAGTTTAGATATATTTCCTACGATAGAAAATACGACGTCTGTATATATATTTTAGACATTTAATATCAAATAAACAAATCATTTTCTGTGACAAAATACAATAGTAAGTTATATAAAATGACAAATATACATTATTTAAAGATAAGAATGTCTTTCTTTTACAACTTCTGTAAGTCATTCTTCATTTTATATCTTAAAGTCTGATGAATATTTAAACTGTTAAGATATAAATTTACAATCCATATTTATTTTAATATGATCTGACTTATGATATACAAACTTCAAGTGGTATCCACCAAACTTTACAGCTATGCGTCTATATTTTTCACACAAATATCAACTGTTAAAATCATACCACTCTTACACTGAAGAATTTAGTAAATATTAGATCCAATATTTTATTCCGTGACGCTAAGCACTATTGCACCAAAATCCTTTTTTACATTTTTGAAAAAAACTGGAATTTTCCCGCCTTTTACACTTGGTACTGCAACATGGGATTTCCGAGACCCGGATGTGAATTGTTCATGCGCAATGCTGTCAGGCTTTTGTTGTACCAGTCGTCCTCGTGGACTTCCTGCAGGAGAGACAAAATAAAACAATAAAGTCAGACATATGTATGTTGAAGGTTTGGTTTCACGGCACACCAACACAATTTAGGTCATATGGTGCTTAAACAGGAAAGATGATTTTGTCAAACTTCGGGTGTTACAAACATAAAGTAACATCAAGGGTCAAAACTACCTCGCCTGTTAGAGCAAGAGAATGCATAGACTCCAGTAATTCGAACCCATTTACTCATCTGTTGAGAACACACAGATATAAACGGTGGCTGCAATTCGTTTGCATCACCTCTTAAAGGCAACCCATTAGCTACAAGGGGTATGTTCATCTCCGCGAACTATAAAACAATTATAGCAAGAGGTCGTTCAGTAAACATGTCTCTCCTAATCGTATTGAGAAACTTTCAAAGTTTACTTAATATAGAATCTATGTGACTATTTAATCAATAAACATACTAACCAAATTATAATCTGACGTCATTCCTGGAAACTGTTGAATTTGTCTTGGCATGCTAGCTGCCATGTTGGATTGCATGGTGTTCATACTTGGGAACTGTGCCACGGGTGAATAAGATGTGTTCATTTGTGGGTAGCGAGCCATATTGTTCATGCTTCCAGGGCTTGGATATGTGCCGTACGGTCGATTGTTTGAAGGGTATATATTCCTCATCATGCTGTTACAAGACGGAATGACGGGAGAAAGCGACTTTGCCAGTTGTTTTTCTTGTTTCCTATACTTTGCCCGTCGATTTTGGAACCAAACCTGAATGTAGAAAATATTTATGTATTGACAAAGGAATAAATTCTTTTGAAACTGTTTGAAATTACTTTTCAAAGTATGTCAGGCAATAACAAGACTAGTTTCACTGTTGATAGAACGTTTCCGAAGTTTTCGAAGGAGGAAGGGTTAAATCGTTGATTACAGGCGAATATCCTAGAAATGCACGTTCGATTTGATCCCCTAATGAAGTAAACTGTTAAGCAAAGAACGCTTCATTTGCATAAATAATTGGACGAAAATAGATTTTGATTATCTTCTATCTCTTTTTCCCTAATCGATTGGTCTGATGGAAGACAGCAGCTCATTACGGGAGAAACATGGAAAACACCGCCACCGTACAAAATCACAAATTCACAATACGGGGACGAGCATGTACATATGGCCATTTGCGTTCGGCGGAAAATCCTACGAGCGGAATTGATTTAAATAATTGTTCCATTTCTCAGAAGAGTTTTTTCAATTCCCTATTCGCGGATTCTAGAAAACGGCGTTCATTCAAGCGCTCGCTTGTAAATTCAACATGCAATCAGAGGGAAAAAGAAAAATGACAAAAATGTTCAATTTATTCCGAAATGACCCTATGAAAGGAACAGCGTTATGGGAGCACGCTCTATTGGACACTAGACTATTCTCAAACCATTAGTTCTCTTCATTCCATGATAACAATGTCTCCAAATAAAGCAGCCGACATGAACATTTCGTAGTACTCTAGTTGAAATTCCAAGAGCGTTTCTCCCCCCATATCTGTTAGGAAAAGTTGAGAAGCGAACACATTTACGTAATTGAATTACGCGGGAAAATTGACGGGCCTTAGTCACTGAGAGCTTCTTGGCTTTCAATTAGTCTCAGATAGAACCTAAGACAGTGTCCTACATCATTTTAAATGGCAGATATCTGTCCACGAAGTACATTTTCCCATTGGCGTAAAAGTCAGTCTTTTCTTTTTGTCTAGAAGTGCATTAAGTTATTTTTTCTGAGACATTGAAACACAAAGTAATGCCTATGTTCACATTAAAGCAAACAAAACTCGACAGTAAAGACAGGACGCTCAATTAATATATAACGACAGTTACCAGTCATCAGTGCATTTTACCGTTTCTTTTGATTTCCAGACTTAATTAATTGTTCTACACTGATTTTATCAAATTTTTATTAGAATTCCTAAACATTGATATCGTTTAAAAGAATTACAGCAAGCTGGTGTTTATTTTGTCTAATACAAGAAACAGAAATTATAGACACGTGCCTAAATTGATATTTAACAAGTCGTTTTGCGATGTCCACGTGTCAGCACGTGCAAGTCACAAGGCATCAAATAAAAGAATTTGTTGAATGTTTCGGTATTTAGCAGGGAAAAAATTTTCAGCTTATTTGTATTAAAAGTTTTGAGTTATCTACACTGAAATAATTCGGTATAGTTGTATTTAACTATTGTTTCATGATGCATTTATAAACAACATATTTAATTTTTAAAAGTCAATTCAGTTTTAAAATCTATTTAAAACTAATCATTAAATTATCAATTATCCAGCTTGCCGTGTTTTTTTTTACAAAATAAACCACAGAACCGAACGTGATTTTACAAAATTATAATGAATAAAGAATTGTTCAATACATCTTTAATACAATGTTATAATGCATTATCTATATAGATTTTTTATTATATTGTTACATATTAGCATAAAAAAAGTTTCCGTTACACTACATAGTTATGATAGAACAATATACAATTATTCATACAAAACAAGATTTTAATAAGCGATAAAATACTGAGATATATCCAATCAATCGAGTTTTAATATTTTTGACTTTTCAAACGGTTGAAAAGTAATAACTTGCGATTTTCAACTTCAAATATCATATAATTTTATTTGACTGAAATTCTAAAATTCATCCTACCATTTCAAGTTAAATTACATAAACTTACAAAAATTATATTTATGTACGTATGAAAAACGTTTTTCAAATAAGGAGACAGTTTCACGGAATAAAAACATGCGCTCTGGGGACGATGTTTTGATTAGAACGGGCATTGTCGGTAATGTCTAAAGACCTCAACACTTCGAAATTCTCGGTAATGACGGCTGAAAAATTCATTATGCTCATCACACGATCTCCATCGACGCACTCAGCCGCAGTTTCGTAAATTTAATTTCGTCTTCCCTAGAAGGAATGAACCTTCTGATCAACATAGAAAAGGCAAAGTCGAGATTCGGAATTTCGTTATCTCAAAAATAGCGGTTAAACGTATTTGAATATTTATCTATTGAAAGTATATTACTAAAGGTTTATAGCGTTAAGTTTGAAGAATGGTTGGGGCATTTTGTATGGAAATTGCTTTAGTATCAATTTATAGTTGCTATTTTCTAAGAAAATTGCATTGTCCGCCGATAGCGTTCTTATAAGATAAGTATAGAGCACTCAATAAGCTGGAAACTTTCATTGCAAGTTAAGAAATTTTGTGTTCGTTTTTTTCCCCTTTTTCCCCTTTCCTTTTCATATTCAGCATCCGCCTTTGATATTAATATTTAGCCTTGTTTTGCTATATTTTTTTTATATTTTAGTTCTAAAAATGGATAGTATAAATATACTGTTAACATAGTCTTAACGCAGCACGCTTGCAGATTCATCCTAATGTTCACGAAAATTTGAAAACTGTATTATCAGTTGAACTACACTTACAATCCACGTAAATTATCAAAATAGGTTAAAATATCAAAAATAGACCTTACTGTGATAGTCATGCAGTAGAAATACGATATAGTGATAAATACTGCAAAATCAGTGTTTATTTGCACATGACATGTAAATTATTATTTGAATTTTAAATATTTTTACTTTCTTAAAATCTTAGTACATTTTTCTCAAGTTTGATTTTCCTGAAATATTTTGGGTCATCAGGCATGCAGCTTTAGAGTAATATATTTATCCGGACTGTTTGATGCTGGTCTCTTATCAGAAATATTGTTAAAAAATATAGTGAATTACCACAATGTTTTAATAGCTATCAAAGCATCTAATATTTCATAAGGGAAGAAAGATTTTTTAAAACATAAGATTATGAGGTGATATTTTCTTAAGTATTTTTCTAGGAGAAAAAGAACGTACCATGAATATATGCGGTTAAAAACGTACATAAAAACAGCCAAAAAATGGCTTAGTTATTTTAACAGAAGGAATAGAACAGACACTTTATATTATTATTATAGAATATCAAATTTGGAAACTGTGCATACAATTAAGGAGTGAATATATAGAGGATATTCAACTATTTCCTATAAATACAGGATTTATTTTCATCGAATGGAATGAAAATAAATATTTCATGAGTGGTGGTATTTATAGAAAAAACTTGAATTTTCTGTTTATCATATACATTTTCCTCTCCTTTTTTGCATTACAATTTGAAAGTCTTTCCCTTAAATTTTGAGTACTGGCAGAATTTAGAAGAAAGTAGTCCGGCGCAAGACACCAGTGAAAATACGGAAAATTTGTTTCACTGCAGTGAAAATTTAATTTCTACAGTGAAAATACGGAAAATGAAAATACGCATTTTATTTCATCAATATTTCACAAAATTTCATTTATAAGTGTATAATAAACGTATGTACACATAACGTTTTTATGTTTATTGTTATTAATTTGAAGTAGGATACAATAGTGTAGAATATTTTAGAGAACTTAAGTCACGCAAACTTATCTTCAGGAAAGTTTTGAACAGATTTACAAGCAAAATATCACAGACTTCCCAGACGTTGAGGGGACCGTTATACCTAAATATAGGAACACACATTTAAAAAGCGCCATCTGGTGAAGCTTTCTCACATTCTTTAAATTTCTTAGAAATGGTATCTTCTTCATTCTAGTCAAAGACATCACGACAACTTCTGTCCGACTTAATAGACACTACAGGACAATTTTCAAAGAAAACATTGTTTCCCATAAACCCCCTTGAAAAATCTCAAACTCCTTACGAACTTTGTAGTGTTTTGATGGGCCCCGCCCTAGGGAGTCAAATATGATTTGAAATAACGGTAAAAGTGCTATGAGGGTTGGTAATTAGACAGGAAACATCGACAAAAATCAATTGAAATATGTTAATTCTATGACCTTTTTAGTGGACTTGAAATATTGAGGGCAGGAATATAAAAGAAAAACGCCCTCTGTCGTCTAATGTTCCACGGTGCGTGCATGGTTTGTAATTATGGTCGCTCATTGAATGTCTTAGAAAAAAATCATGGGCTGATTTAGTAAAACGAAACTTTTTTATTAATTAAAATCGCAATTTTTGTTATCATATATGAGTGTGTATTTGTGTAAAATGAAGAACAATTAAAAATATCAATTTGATATCAGAAACCGTAATACGGAGTATTCACCCTAGGAGAAATATGAGCCGCGTCACGACAAAAGCAACATAGTGCATTTGCGACCAGCATGGATCCAGACCAGCCTGCGCATCCGCACAGTCTGATCAGGATCCATGCTGTTCGCTATCAGTTTCTCTACTTGTAATAGAGTTGGTAGGCGAACAGCATGGATCCTGATCAGACTTTCAAATAGAAAGCCCCTGATCTAAACTAGAGTTAACTTAGAATATGGTTACTCTGATATTTTAAAATTTCAAGTGTTATATTGTTACTCTCTGGGAATACTGTTTCTAAATTTCTGTATGAATAAATTTGTATTTAAACATAAGGAAATAAGCGAATTTTTTAGAAAGACTTGTAAATTAGACTGTTTCAACACAATATGTCTTTTCTAACACATTAACATGAACACTTGTCTGTGTTGCATAAAACAATATATACATAAACACGAGCTTTGTCTACAGCAAGACGGTTGCTCCAGGCGTAGTACAAGAAAAAACAACAACAGAAAAAGTTATTATCGAATCTGGTCTGTGAATTTATTTCACACTATACTGCGTAATACAAGTACAATGTATTGATACAATTTAAACCATAATTCTTACACATTCATTTTACATCCTACAGACATACCGCCTGAATATCATATCACATTTTACACATAACCATTTGCCTTTTACATTTTAAACGTAATTCTTTACATATGTAATTGTAAACATATTTTACATGTAATTCTTAAAATACATGTGAGCATAGTATCACTCAAATCTGTCAGTTTTGACAGTTTCAGATTAATCAGATACAGGCTACTTTTTTAAGACTGGTCACACATATGATATACAAGCAATTTCAACATAACAGATTTAGTAACTCATATTTTACAGTGAAGATACATATATTATTATAGTATTTTTAGGATATTTATGTTTTGTGTTTGTTTTTATAGATGTAGGTACTGTTTGTTTTATTTATGTTAATACTATATACCAATTAGTCTCTTATAATTATATTGTAGAATTGTCATACGTATCTTGCATTATTTAATTTACTGGTTTTTGTATGTTTTGATTGTAATGCACATGAAAAGGTCTAAGCTTAAGTAACTAAACTGTATCATTTATAACCAAACATATTCAACGTGTCAGAATTCTTTGATATTGTCCTTATTTCTTTGATATTTTGTTCCGGACACGCTTAAACGTCCCATACATAGCTAAGATATTGGCTGTTAATATAAACTCAATAAGGTCATTTTTTTCAATCCATCAAAAACATTATTTACCCATCAAAAACATTATTTGTGTAGTCAGAAATTATAAGTGCCATCGTTATACAAACTTTAAAAGGAATATTTGTTACATACAGAAGATCCACTGTTTCTCTTCGAAAATGTATTAAAATGTAGGATTAGAATATATTAGAAAGTAAAATAAAAATACAAGGAAATCCCATTTAGAGTTTACTAATAAAACAGATAAAATGCAATGTTTCCATAAAAACTTGTAAAACATAAGAAGTGTGAGATTCAAAGAAAAACAACATTTTTTTTATTGAAGCAATGTTTAAGACTATTTTATTTAGATCTACAGATCACGCCTCTGATGTTATCAAAACCTGTACGGACATTTTGCTGTAGCAAAAGAAGAAACCCCAAGAAACTAACCTGTATCCGAGCTTCATTTAGTTTTGTGATCCTGGCTAGCTCCTCCCTACAGTATATATCAGGATAGTGACTCTTAGAGAACGCCGCTTCTAATTCTTGAAGTTGTTCTTGGGTGAAGGTCGTCCGGTGGCGCCGCCTAGCGGGTGTTGGACACGTGCTAGGGTTGTGTGAAGAAGCAGAACTTCCGGTACCAAGGCTTGAACCTGTAACGGGAGATTGCTCGGATTTGATCTTCTTAAATGCACCCTCTTGTCCTGGAATTACATATTTTATACTTATATATAATCAGTTCAATAGACACAAACTCTTATCTCTAGCTTTCCGTCAGAAAAAATTGACGTTTTTTGTTATTTTATTTATTTATTTATTTATTTATTTATTTATTTATTTATTTATTTATTTATTTATTTATTTATTTATTTATTTATTTATTTATTTATTTATTTATTTATTTATTTATTTATTTTGTATTGAAGTTACAGCATCTACAGACAATTTGTTGTTTTGTAAAATTTGGGGAGCTGAACCATTTATATACAAATGTTTGTGTTTTTCAAGTCTTTCTAGTTTCATAAAAAGTCATAAAAGTATTGTTAACTGTAATCATTATATAACAGAACGCATTATATTATAAATTCGTGCTAAGAAAAATGGCCAGGTATTTTAAAATCGCGATTTTCTTTAATTTCATCTTTTCTAAACGTCCAGCATAGGAATATGCATTGACGGGACCTTTTTCTTTTCCATATTTTAATTATATTATGTATGCGTCAAAAGCGAATTTTAGCAACCATGATTTTTTTATTTGAATTCGTCCCTTATTTTCAAGTTATGAATGTACGAATTTTTCTAAATGAATACAATTTTGTACCACAATATATTCTTGCTTACAAGCATAAACTTATATTGTTGTACTCTGTATATGTTTATTCCTACACATCTCGGTGAATTCTAAACATTTTATTATTAACTGATCTAATTTGTAAATTATACAATTTGGATGAAATTGTAATTAAAATTTGAAGAAAAAAAAGAATCTGACGTTTTAATTAACTTTTTCATGAATATATGACCTAATTAAAAACCAAAACACTAGTATGTCAGTTTGAATAGCAATATAAATAGAGACATCTTTGTATTAAAAGATAAAATGAAATAAAATACTACTTTACAGGTGTGTAATAACAACAGAATGGTGAAAATATACACCAATATTTGACTGTATTGTTTGTTTGTACTAGTTTATTAATACATCCGTTTTCGTTTGAAGTGCGTTACCCGGCACTTAACACATACATATGAAAGCATGTATATAGCCGTACATACATAAAAACATATGAATAATTAAATTATATAGTTCAATAACTGACCGTTTGGGTTTTGTGTTAGATGTAACATGGTGTTAAACAGATGGCGGCAAAGTTCACGTGCCGCAGCGACCTTGTAATGACGTCTCGGAGGTATAAAATTTGACGGCTATATATTGATCAATTATTGGCCAATTAGCCCGATCAGAAATGGACGAGAACACGTGCACATGTTTAACAGGTAACAAGACGAGATATCGAGTCAAAGAACTAAATCCCCAAAATAAACTCTTAGTTTATGGGTGCAGCTACAGAAACTCGCAAAATTATTACTTGAATTTGAGAATTATGAAACTATTATGTTTGTGGAAATGAAACATGTCGCTATTTCTGTTTCCCTGTATTTTACTCTACAGTAGCGACAGGAGATTCAAAGAATTTAAAATAAGATATAAAAAATCGGATTTTTGTCGTAGCTTGAGAAAGAAATATAAACTGCACCTAACAGTAATAAAAATCCGATTCGTTGTTTAAAAATTTGAGAAAAAAATAGAAATATATTTTTTTTCAAAAACCAAAGTGACATATTGCATGTATACATTGTATGTGACAAAATTTTAATTGTTTAGAATATTTTTATTTAGATTTGCATAAAATAACACCACGAATTGTGTGGTGCGCCGTTTCAAGAAAAAGAATAAATTAACAATGAAAAATAACACAATATACAATTACTTTAAAGGTTTTGGTGCATTGAGGACTTTGCTCATGTTATTTATAAATGCTTAATGATTATCTAATTTTATTATATATAACTGGTGGTATGTTTTAAATAAAAGACCTTTAACGGACTCATTGTGTACATTTAAATCATTAAACTTAAATTTTCATTTCTAGTATATTGCGCATTCAGATATTGATACATTATATACAAATGAGTTAAAACTGTAAGTTTGTGTGTTATAAATAGAGATATCGCTACACATGAAATATTTATTTTTATACCACTCGATGAAAATAAATCATGTATTTAAAGAAAAAAAACTTGAATTTTCTGTTTATTATATACATTTTTAAATATTACAATTTGAAATACTTTCCCTTAAATGTTGTGTATTGGCTTAATTGAGAAGAAAGTGGTCCGACAAGACACCAGTGAAAATACGGAAAATATGTTTCACTGCAGTGAAAAAAAATGTTTACATTGAAAAAACGGAAAATAAAAATACGCATTTTAATTCATCAATATTACTCAATATGATATTTAAAAGTATATAATAAAATATAATCTAATTTGTTCATGTGCGACTTCGTATAATTGTAGTATTTAATTATATTTAAAACTGTTAGCCATCGACAAAAATAAATACAATTTTTGTTGAATGATCTTGTTATAAAACGTTATCTTTATATATTTTAGACTGTCTTAATATATTTAGAACGGGGTGATTGAAAAAAACAGTAACAAAACAGAACATACTACATTCTTATTTTATTTGTACATGTAGCAATATGCAATCAGTGAATGAATTTTTAAAAATATAATTATGTTTTTTTTCTATTAAGCAAAATTTGATTCTTCGACCAGAATTTTACAACAGTTTTAATAAAGAAGAACATATTTTTTTCAAATCGCCTTTGTATAATCAACAAAATAGGTATCAACAGATGTGAGTTTCAAAGTAAAATTATTTCTGTAATAAAATTTTATTTCGTTAAATGATGTTTGCTTTTCAAGAAAAATATTACAATATTTTTGGTTTTGTTTTTGCGTAGTTACGAATTTAAAACTTTTTAATAGCTTTGATTTACGCTGTACGTTGCGTGGAGAAATCAGCGGTATTCCGAAGAAATAAAATTTGCAGAATTGTTTAATCTATACACCATGTATAGTGTAAACACGTGCGCTTGCGAATTAGAACAAAATACAATATTTTAACAATATTTTCGATTAAAAAAAACTTACTTGTCCCATCTTTGATAAAATTTTCATTTACCTTTTTTACGAACTATGAGTTTCTGATGTTATAGAATTATATAAAGCCGGAAAATCGCTTGAAAGAAATCTTCAGAAAATGTGTTTGTTCCTTTTCCCACTCAATTATAATTCAAGAGAGGGTATAAATATTTTACCGCCCCGAAATCACTACTACGACAAATATGTATATACGTATATACAAATACGCGCATAGATTTTGGAATAATTGCAAAGGTGTTCCGTCTTTTAATAGCAATGATTCCTTAAAACAAACAGTTAAACATAAATAAACACGTTATTTTATATTCCAGTTATTTAACTAACACCCTCCCGTGTCATTTGGTGGTATAAATCGGATACGAAAAACTTGTCATTTTATTTTAAAGCCTAGAAAATCTGATTACCCGTTTACAAGAAGCGATCTATATCATATTATGGAAATTTCATAACCTTCAAATTGAATACTGTTCATTTATTGCTAGGCCCAAAGTGCAGTAGTTTAAAGTAATACAATTTGGCGCAATTTTTTATTAATTCTATTAATTACCAAGTCCATGGCATTCCGTCAAGAAACCGAAATACCGTCTTGTTCAAAATTCGTTTATCCGTAAATAAAATTATTGCTAACAAATTTGGTTTGCGATGTCTTTGCGTTACCCTCATTTTATTTGGGGTAAACAATATAAAATAAATTCCCCAGCGGATTTGGTTTATTTCTATAATGTATTAGATAACTAAGTCTAACACCCTCATTTTGCCGACTTGTTAACGAAAAAATGAAATTACTTATGTTTAAACCTATTACATGCCGTCATCATTACAGCTATGGACACGTATCGCAAGAGACCATAAACAGTCTAACTTCTTTAGCTTCAATTTGTACAAACTGGTATATAAAATTAGACATGACGTGTCGTAAATATTAAAATAATGAAATAATTAAATGATAATAATAATTTACCTGTAGAATCGTTCAAAGATCTTGACGATGGTGCGGTGTGATCTAAGGAATATAAACCTCCAAATTCTTCTATTTTTCTCTTGCCGTCTCTAACATCATCTCCCATCGACAGACGTCCATCTTCAGATAACATTTTTTAATTACTTCTTTTTCAATTATTTTTTTCTTGAAACAATTTAGTGACGCTACCCTCTTAACAGTATTGAGTGAAAATTAAACGCACTCGTTTTCTTATTCGATTAATTATAAATGTGTGATTAAACACGAGTTTTATGGCGTAACTACAGCTAAGAAATTATCAAAACATAATGAAATTTTCTTGGATATTCATTTTATATCAGGAACAAACGAAGAGATGGGAGTTACTTTTTAGCCAATAAAAATTAACGGTGTTTTACTATTAAAAGGAAATCTCACGCGCCAGCGATTGCTGTAATCTGATTGGCCAAGAAAACAGCGCTCTACTCCAAAAGTAGATCCGAGTAGTTCCGAATGCGATCGATTATGGAAGAAACGTGATAATGTGTCCAATTTGCAAATATTATGGCTCATACATAAATAACGTCTTATTTCAGCGGCCAGTCTCAATAGAACACGGGGAGAATTATTGGCGTTGTTCCTGTCGGCACAATTTTTTGACCAACATCGTAATAACATTTACGCACACAAAAAAAAAGTAAAAAAAAAACAACATGAATTTTCCATTTATCAGATACAAACAATATTATATCTGTCGATTTTCTACGAGACATTCGAAAAATTTAAAGGCAAAAGCATGGGCAAATTTTGTTATCAAGGTAAAATAATTAAATGTTGTCATGATGTTTTAAATAAAAAAAATAAAAAAAAACAACACTGTCGAAATCTTGTTGACAGACTAGCATGAAAACTATCATACATGAAATATATCTGGACAACCTGCTAATATGATTCGTGTATCGGTAGTTACAGCATAAAACAATGTTTTCTTTTAGACGTCATTGAGTTATGTAGCTTTATCTATGAATGTATTTATATGTCATTTCATTTTTAAGTAACATAAAATTGCTATTATACAAATTATTAATATGTCTTATATCAACTTACTTTTCTATGTTTAACAAATATGAAATTAACATAAAAAATGTTAAAATTTAGCAACGAAAAGATCTGTTTAAAATCCTTAAACGTTTTATATGGACCAACTCATTTTGGAAAGCACGGTAAATTCAAATAGATACAACTTGTTTCGTAACTACTGGATTAGCAAAATAATAAGAACGATACTATTAAATAATGCATATATACCGTCTGGCAAGTTAAACAAAATTTGAAACAATTGATGCGACATGCGACTAAATACGTGATATTCCGAAGTTCAGCTGGTTTCTTCTGTATTTAATGCATAGTATGGCATAGCGTCTTAAATTTCTACTAGAAATTGTAAAAAGTAGAATATTTAAATTGTCGGATTGCTACAATTCTTACACGTCTACTAATAAGAAGTTTCATTCTGTTTTATTGCTAATATACAACTTAAACAGTATGCCTCCAGATTTTTCATGCAAATTTTGGAAATTTGTTGAAAGTAAAATATTTCAATTTAAAGAATACTGTACAGTAATTTTCACATTTCAAACGGCAGTTTCAAAATCCGCGTAAATAACAAAATAAATGTCAAAATATATTAAAAAAAAACCAATATTGCGTTAGTCACGCGGAAGAAATATAGTGATAAATACTGCAAAATCAGTCATTCGGTGCATATAGCATAAAAATATTACTTAAATTGTAAATATATATATTGACTATTCTTTAAATCTTAGTAATTTTTTCTTTAGGTTGTTTTTCTTTATCTTATTTTTATCATTATTATTTTTATTTTTTATTTTGCTCATATGTATGCAGCTTTAAAAGTAGAGCATAGTTTTTTTTTTATATTTACAATGTATTTTATTTTTATATTTCAATGATAAATATACAAATTAAAAAAAGCTATTTTCTGCCTTTAACAAGAATTTTGGTTATTTTCGTTTTCTACGCTAAAAAGGCGTCCAGATGTTAACATTCTACGAGGAAGAAAAAATCTGGAGTGGACACTATCCATCTGTCACTAACAACTGACCACAGCAAAGTGTAAAGAAGGGCGGTATTGACTCCGCCACCTAAAACAAAAAGGGTCCGGGTAATTAAAGGGCTATTAGTCAGATTGTAGCGGTGTTACGCGCTATGAAGTCAGTGGACACGGGCTTGCCTTGGGTGATTGCCTTAATAAGGGTGTAATAAACATAATATGCTGTGCACCGCAATATCAAAGGGACTTTTGACGTTTTGAGAAAAATTAGCGACTCTTTATTAAATATGACAGGGACATGCAAGAAGAGTTGCTGCTTTTTTAAAAAATTGATTCACAATGTAATATTGTAATATTCCTATTTCTACCAATCTTGATAAAAAAAACTACAAAAAAAGATATGACTTCTTTAATAATTTTTTTTTATTGAAAAAAGTCTTTCCTGCGAAATGTTTTTAAGAGATTCATTTTAGTGTGTGTGAGCAACCACGACCGCAAATGTTATTTAATTTTTAAATAGAATTGTTACGCAATTATAAACATAAGAACAGAGCAGAATAGAACAGAATGAAAAAATGATAATATAACGTGGATGTGGATCTTTGGGGGGGGGTGGGGGGGTATCCTTAGGACAGACGAGAAGTCCAAAACTCTGTAAAGCTTATCGAACATTTGAAATGATAAATTAAAAAAAGGTTCCTATTTTTAAAATGCTGAAAGATATTATTTGACAAATGACCTGAAGGTAAAATCTTCACTGTTATTAATGTACTGAACACTTTAAAAAGTTCCACCATTTTCGAAGCGCCAGCATTTTCGCTTGTGTTTAATATGAATGTTATTGTTGATATATTTAAGTATTATTGCCCTTGATCTTAGGTACAAATACAAACATGTTGACAATTTTCACAACCGTCATCGTAATTTGTCAAAGGCTTGTATCAGCTCCTAGACATGGAAATTAACATAGTGGTCAAGCTCCTAATGAGTTCATTATCAACGCACTGACCACGAGCCAGTACAGTCACGCGAACATCATTCAATAACTATATAACACTGTTAGAATATTGACTCGCTCTCTCTCAAATAACTAGTCCTGTCAAAATCTTAAGTGATACAGATGCGTTGTAGTTTTTCTTAGATACGTTGTATGTTTTTTTAGATACGTTGTAGATTTTCTTAGATACGTTGAAGTTTTTCTCAGATACGTTGCAGTTTTTCTTGGATACGTTTCAGTTTTTCTTAGATACGTTGTAGTTTTTCTTAGATACGTTGTAGTTTTTCTTAGATACGTTGCAGTTTTTCATAGATACGTTGTAGTTTTTCTTAGATACGTTGCAGTTTTTCATAGATACGTTGTAGTTTTTCTTAGATACGTTGTAGTTTTTCTTAGATACGTTGTAGGTTTTCTTAGATACGTTGTAGATTTTCTTAGATACGTTGCAGTTTTTCTTAGATACGTTGCAGTTTTTCTTAGATACGTTGCAGTTTTTCTTAGATACGTTGCAGTTTTTCTTAGATACGTTGCAGTTTTTCTTAGATACGTTGCAGTTTTTCTTAGACGTTGATACGTTGCAGTTTTTCTTAGATACGTTGTAGTTTTCTTAGATTCGTTGCAGTTTTTCATAGATACGTTGTAGTTTTTCTTAGATACGTTGTAGGTTTCCTTAGATACGTTGTAGTTTTTCTTAGATACATTGCAGTTTTTCTTAGATACGTTGATGTTTTTCTTAGATACGTTGTAGTTTTTCTTAGATACGTTGCAGTTTTTCTTAGATACGTTGCAGTTTTTCTTAGATACGTTGCAGTTTTCGTTCCCACACCAAGACATAATAATGATTTTAGCAAAAATCTGTTGTAATATTTAATAGGATAGTAAGTCATTAAAAATTCACATTTTAATTCATTTTAATTTCAAACACAACCTTTTTGCTTACATTGCATTTGTGAAAGACAATATGCGATTTTTCTTGCAATTGTGAAGTTTAAGCGTTATTTCCTTTAAATTGCACGATATTGAGTTATTGAGACAACTTGAGAAAGTCAATTTACAACCAGCATTTCAAAATGAAATAATTAAATAAGTCTGATTTCATCAACCTGTAAATAGCTCGGAATATTTTAGGGTATTTTAAGGTGATACTGATAAACATACTTTTTGTTGTAATCCTTTTTTTCTGTGGCACCGACTATTAAAGAAGTTCTTATTGTGAAAGTGGCATTTCTTTTAGTTGTGAAGTCGGCATTTTGGAATTGTGAAGTGAAGTTTAATAGTGAAAAAACCCCTGTTGGGCCCGCCAGGTAGAATTAATCTACTAATTAGTTTTAGTTTAAGTAATTCTAAATTGGACTGATCTTTAGATGGGCAAACATGTATTCAGTAACCTTTATATAATGATTTTAAAGCATATTAGATGCTTATTACCGGAAGTAAGTAGTGCTTAATGTGAAATCAAATGTAATAAAGGTAGCAAAAATTTAACAAATTGGTGTTTTGACTTCCATACAAAATATCACTGTACAGTAACTGTTCTAATTACTAAAAAAGCAAAATAAAATAATGGTTAAGCTATATGGTCAGAATTTGTAACAGGACACCAAAAATAAAAATAAAAGTTTTTGAAAAATGAACAAAATAGAATTTTTGGGGCTTAATAGAATGAAAATACATGTACTTAATAGTTAAAATACACACGTTATTTATGTATAATAATTGGAAATAAGATTGACAAAATGTATCAATAAATTACAGAACTATTAACAAAATTGGGATTGATTTGCGTAAATTCAAGCTCACGGTAATGAAACTCTTGCATATAATTTTGAGAATCTGTATTTTGTATATTATATATTACAATGTACAACAACTTTATCAACCTATAGCATATTTGATCATCATCATTGTGTACTTAATAATACTCCTTCTTTAATAACAGATTCAGATATACGCGAAATGTATGTAATACTCTTTTCATATTGAATATTGTTATCTTTTCATATAAGTAACTGTGAATGGTCTTATACCATGTGCATGCATGAGCAAATAAAAACTCTAAACGTATTTCATAGCAACCGACATTTATGTAGAAAAAGTCTGTAATCATCTTTATTTAAAGTTATACCATTTACAAATAAATGAAATATTACTCATCTTCAATGTCTCTATTCAAAAACAGTTCACATTCTATCCTGCAGTATTGCTTGAGTGTCTATTTTTATATTCGAATTGATTCCTATAATAATACTAAAACATTGAGAAACAGTCAGCAGAATCTCTGGAGAACACAAAAAAAAAATATGCAGTACAATGTATATAATAATTTACAACTACACAAATTTCCAAAACAAATTTGCTACTTTAACTGAGATACATATAGCTTATTTTCAATTTACTGTCCACCAAAAACTCAATTCATTATTCAATTAAATAATTTTGCCAATAGATGAAAAACAAACGTTTCGAGTGATGATATAACAAAAATGTGTAACATTTAAAAATGTATTATGACAAATTGTTGGAAACTTAAAAATTTTGACAGATGACAGTTTACACAGTTATCGCTGACAGACAAATAACTTCAAGATAAATCTCGACACGAATATATAATAGCATCTTCTTTGATTCCTATTGCTTTGAATATCTAATGAATGTTTTTACATAAAACGGAAACATTGTCATAGCAAACACAAGTAACGAGAACACAAAATCACATCTGGACCAAAAAATATTTAAAAATGTTTCTTTACTAACGAAAATGATTTGTGAAATACGACCAAACACATACTTAAGATAATGACATAAAGAAAATTATATTATTTTTGTTCTAAAAGCATTTTTCATTTCAGATATGCCAATAATCTTATAGCAATAGAGATCACTAATTTAGATTGCATGTGTATTCATTTTTACAGATATTTTGTTGGCACAAAATACTTTTCTTCATTGTGTACATGTTGACCCATGAAACACATTGTCTGCAGTACCTCTAAGAGGAATGTCACACGTGGGAGATAACATATGTCTTTGGCTGGACCTCATAGCTCTAAGATGTTCCTCCACTCTTTTAATATCAGTTTTATACGAACTAATCCCACTCTCAATGATAGCTTTTATACCGCTAACAAGTTCACTTGTCTGTCCATCTGTGTCTAATACAGATAATCTGCTAACACTAAAATCATATCCCGTAGACCCAAACGTTCCTCGTACTAAAATGAAAATATAGAATTGTAGATTATATCTGACATAGTATAGTAAATAGTATAATTTATTGCAGCCCACTGGTAATCCACCAGTAATATATTAATCTTAAATTGTGTAGTATTCCTGTTATTATCATTGCCAGTTGTATGATGGTGAAAAATCACTTTGATGACGACTTCTGTGATCATGTTGTTGTTGTTGACGATGAAGGTGATGATGATGATTATGACAAAGACGACCACTAGTATGATGATGCTGATGATAGTTATGATGGTGAATATCACAATTGTTTTAGCTATATTAACGGCGTTGGCGACAATTGACAAAGACCTTGATGTTTTAATCTTTTAAAATGAAATAAAACATTTTATTACCAGATCCATATTGACTAAGTTTTTTAAACTTTGTGCAAAGAGCGTCAGCGTCATTTTCTGGTGACATATGAACCCATTTAACGAGAACCTCAGAACAAATATCTTGATTAAGTTCCTCTGTTTCATTCTCTATTGCATCTGTGTCTGTGCCTAGACTTTCAGCAAAGTGCATGCTTGTAAGTTTGGGATCTGAAGTAAATTATGAGTTTGAATTACAGTTTTACATCAAAACAAATATCCCCCGTTTCCTTATTTATTTAAAAACAAGAGAGAAAAAGAATTAAACACGAGTAGCAAAGGTGTCGGAGAGAGAGGAAAGGCTAACAAACTACTGTCGCTGTGTCAGAATGAGTTTTGACCTTCAACAGTTTTTATGACATTTAATGTAAATGTTGGAGAAGTGTGATACTTCTTCACAGGCAGACTACCTCGACAGATAAAATATGTAAGAAATTTAATATTTTGATAAACTTAAGCTTAAGATCCATTTCAACTGATTTATGAACAGCTTGATATTAAAGTATTATGAACAGCTTGATATTAAAGTATTTGAACAGCTTGATATTAAAGTATTTAAACGTTTCAGAATTAATTAATTAATTGCAATAAAAGAAAAACATCAATATCAAAGAAAAGCGTTAAATGCCCATTCAATCTCAAAGTGCTATTGTTTTATATAAAAAATATCAATTGATAATAAATAAACCACTAAAACACTATATTTTAGAAGTTACTAATTTGCCATATTGCTGAGTCATATTTTGCTTCTTTTGAACTTGAGTTAACAGTGATAGTGATATTGTATTTTGTATGGAAGTCAAAATACTACTTTGCATATATTTCTCTACCTTTATCACAAATTATTTCGCATTCAGTGCTACTTCCTTTAGTTAATACGTATCTTACAAATTTCAAATTCATTATTACACCATAACAAAGTGTTTGTCCTTGTAAAGAACGTAGTGTTTTCCCTTGTAAAGAAAAGAATAAAAGTAATATCTGAGGCTAAATGTGTTTCAAATTTTAAAGATTTTTTCAAGACGTTTTGTATACAAGCCCAGCAACAAACGCTTGATTGGTTTACGGTTTGTATAGGCTAACATCCAACAACCTTACCTTTTTGACAATATTTTCTCAAAATTCTCATCACACCAAGTTTACCCTTCTCGGGAAGTTCAGAAAATGAATAACTCTCTTCTCGACTGCTCAGAGTTCTGATAGCTTCAATACAGTTGACCATTAACTGTGACTGCGTCAAACCAATTGTGTATTCTAGTTTTAGAGTCTGGTCTTTACCGTCCAGTTTCATGTCTTTTAGATCTTCATTTACCTCCTAAACAATGTATATGTTAAGCGAATGGAGGAAACGTATATTATTAAAAAATAAAGGCAACGTACATATTAGTCATATTGTAAATGTTAAAATGTTTTTTCAAAGCGTGTCTTCTGTACAATGTGGAAACATTGTACACTTATATGTCACATTGTGACAAGCAAGTTGATTCATTTTCATATGTATTTTATACTTGTATGTTTGCTATTTGCATATATATGATAATGCTTTTTCATGTCAAATAAAGATAATGCTAAGCTGTATGTAAATGGCATATATATGTGAACGCATTTTTGATTCGAAAAAGTTACAGTTAAAGAAATATATGCATGCGTTAAATTGAGAAATTCATTTTATTGATATCACATTATTCAATATTTGGATCATAAAATCATAATTTTTGGATGGATAACTTATTGCTAAATATTTTCTGCTTTCAAGCAAAACATACATCATTTAGAAAGTCTCTACAATACACTTTCTTTTCTCAGAAGCACAGCATCTTTATTTACACCATCTTTATGTGGTTCTCGGAAATGATTTAAAAATCTCTCTATATAAGGCATATATTTATAGAAGTAGCAATTAATTTATCAGTAAGAAATAAGAAGTAAGTAAACAGGATAATTTTCTATTAGATATAATAAGTGAGATAAAACATAAAGCAATTTAAGTGATACTTGTAAAAGTAGTGTTTCGTGCTCAAGCTTTTCACCAGTTTCCTCCAGTTTGGCTCTTGTTTGCTCCAGATCACGTAAGTTGAACGCTAAATCGTCTTTCGCTTGTTGCAGTTCTACTGCTGTCGATTCAAGTTTCGCTCTAGTTGTTCTGAGACTTTTTTCTGTATTTTGTAGGTCTCCCTTCGTTGTTAGGTTGTCATTTATAAGACTCTGAACATTATCGTGATAGCTCACCAGCAGGTCATTTAACCTTGAAACATCCACAGTCTTGAGTGTATTATTGTGTCCAACCTGAACGTTGCTCTTACTTATATAGCATATCACGTTTCCTTGATCGTTTAAAGAATCTAGTTTAGTGGTGTACAGTTCTTCCATCTAAAGTTTAATAATGAATAAAGAAATCTTTTTGAATTGAATCATTAATTGATACCAATGAAAATGACGTCTTCTGCATAAAGGACAGTATTCATTTTACTAGATTTCAAATATATGATAGTATGTGCATTAAATTGCTTGTTCAATATGTAAAAAAAATATATTCATGTATATAAAAATTAGAACAAAAATCAACAAGGCAAAAATCTGGAAACAAAGTGATCCCTCAGAAGCATTGATCACATCAAAATTACAAGAGAATTGCAGACTCGGTTTGATTGGGTTTGTACATGAGGGATAATAAATATGTGCAACATCCCTCACGCCCCCAAACACCGGCTAGAGCGGTACTTTATTCTCAACACTTAATAAAGCCAACATCAATGATCCCGAAGGACCAGAAAAATATAACAATATTGAAGTGAAGTACGGGGCAACTTTATACAGCTGCCACACAGCACTTGACACCTGCGCTGTTGTGAAATATAAAAATCTAGAAACAAAGTGATAACTCTAAGAATGCAGTCTAAACATAACAAACCTAGTTACATCTACAACTTGACTAGACTCGATCAAGAAGTATGAATGATTGAATGAATAAAATAGTTCAATTTACCTGTTTTATAGATACCATTATATCCGAAGTTGTTCTCATCTTTTGCTCTAAATCCTTTATTTTTGACTGTTGTTTAGCTATAGTTCTATTTGCCTCTTTTAGTGCTTTCTTGTCACCACCAAAGACATCTGTTAATTTTGATGACACTTTTGAAACTAAACTCGTTTTAGAAAGAGTACTGGAAGTAGAAATCTGACTCGCTGATCTACCTCTACGAAATGGCGAAGATATAGATGAAGTGCGAGAATGTGCCCGGACATATTGTTCGGCATCAACATCTATATCTTCACATAAAGTTTTAGAAGATTCACTGGTTGGTTCAAGAGATACTGAGTCAATCCTCTCGCGAAGTTTAGAACTCATTGCTCAACATTTAACACTGATACAAATCACTTTACAGTAGACATAAATGTTTTAAACGGTTTTCATAAAAATCAACTGCTTTAAGAGGTCATTTACTTCAAAATGTCAACACCTTTTGAGATATTTTTAATGATAAAACCATATCTAAAGTACCCTTAAGATAATGGTAGATAATAAGATAACCTAATATTTGATATTTGACCTAACATTTCAACAAATTTGCATTTGTTCATCTAATTATCCATTTCTCTTATTAAAATAAAAATATCCGAAGTATAATTTTGCCAATCACATATTTGGTTTTATATATTATATGTGATATTAAACTTTATATTGTTTCTTAACACATGTGTAATACTTTATTAGTTTTTATTAAAACTTTTTTCTTATCTAAATGTTTAAATTATACTTTTCTCGTCTCGAGCACTTGTTAAGACTAGTATATTACAATATCAAGCGCCTACGAAAAACCGTCTATATTGCTTAGTCATACAGATATAGTTTAGGTCAAATTCTGACCAATCTACCTTGATTTGTGTAGACTTCACATGCGTGCTTCAGCAGGTACCTGCATCTACCCCAACACCTGCCGTAAGCTGAGCTATAACAACGAATTAACTTACTTGCTTCATATTCATATAGAACTCTCAGTGGCGATCAGCAAATGGCTCAGAATCAACAATCTTTTAGCTTTCAGCTTTTAGCAATTAGATAACAGATAATGATAAAAAATCTGAAAGGTACATTGATGCAAATTTGACATAAAGTACCTCTCATGTGATTTTATACTGATGCTTTGTTACAAACGAGCATTTGTAAAATAAAACATAAAACATAAATTGGATCAAAGAAATATTTTATTACAAGAAATAAGGTGGAGTACGAAACAAACGATATATAGTGTTGATTTTTTATTGTAATTTATCATTAATAACATGTTACATGTGACATACTATTTTATCAATTTTATGATATTTAAACTTTGTCATTTGACATTTGACAATAGAGTTTCTATGAAATTATAAAGAATGATGAAATGCAGACAGAAAAGATTGTTTGTTTACTGATAATTGGTTGAGCATCACAACCTTTTTGATATCGATAAAACTAGGGAATGATAACAAGATACCAATTTGATAACGGTTGTAAGTTTATTCTACACTTTTCTTTTTATATCCCCGTTTCGATATAAATATCAAATATGACGTCAGTATTATAATATTATGTACTTATGTTTAACTATTGTTTGTGTCGATTACAGGACCAAGTTGTTATTTTATACAAGTAATATCTACATGTATGTAAAATAATTATAGTTCTTACTTTTTTTTGAAAACACCCATGTACTTGGCGACATTTACGACCCATTTGACAATAGAACATAAATTAATTAGTTCATTTATACTTCCTTAAACGGGTAAATGAATTTTATTATTCTTCATCATTTTGAAAACAAAGTGGCTCTATTCTCATGTAACTTATTAACCTGATTATAAATCATGAATTAGATACTAAAGTTGCTACATATTTTCATGAATTCGGGCAGGGCAAAAACTAAATTTGTTGAAATATTATCATCTCTATTTATATATATACGAAAGTGTTAAATTACTTCCCTAAAATGTGTGATATGGTATGACAGATACGACATAATACCATTGTAATTGAAAGATAACCAAGTTATAGAAAGTAAATTAAACGGTTAAGTTGGTCCAAATACATGTGCTATTTCATCATACGCATAGATATGATTTTAATACGTATTGAAAACTATAAACTTATCTGCACTCAAACTATTTAAAAACGAAAGGATGAAAAACTATTGCGGACGATGGAGACGTAAAGAGAAGAAAGAAGTAACAAATTTGAGATTGTTGTAGATTCAGAAGAAGACGAAAAGCCAATACAAGATGGCTCAATCGAATCTGATACAGAACGACTTTCTAGTTTTCAGAGAGGAAATAAAGTCACACGGTCTTTGGGTAGATCTTTCAAAAATTTAGAGTTTTTTAAATCAACTCAGTCGGTTTCAGAGGGGAAAGGCGGAAGCTTTTTTGGTACGATTTTCAATCAAAAGAGTAAAAAAGATATTCGTAAAGAGCTGCGAAAGGAAGTTGAGAGCTTAAATGAAAAACATGAAAGAAATATGTTAGAGTTGGCTCGCTTTCAAACAGAAAATAAAAGACTGGAAGTTCATTGTCGACGACTTGCAATGGAAAACACCGTTCTACAGGATTATAAATCGAGGTTAGAAAGGGAAGTGGAAAAGTTGGAGAACGACAAAATATCGCTTAAAAGTTGGAATGAAGAAATACTCTCTTCCGTTGGACAGGTACATCGCTTACATTCTTTAAGGGTTTTCTATTTCAGGTACACCACTTACATCCTTAATTTTGTGTAGGATATACCGCTTACATTCTTACTATTTTTTCTATTCCTTTACAACTTATTCCGTAGTTTTGCAATGTATAGAACAAGCTTACTATCTAAGATAGGCTAATACAATTATTTCCATGCACAATGTATATATTTATGTCAGCGTTCTTTCTGTTATAGGCGTTGAAAAATTATGGCGAAACCTTCGACAAATTCGATTTTGACGGTTTTGATGGTTACCAACACGAAGAGACTGTAAGTTTTGAAAACTTGCAAATAGGATCAGGAAACACGCAGAACATTTTTACAACAGACCTGCAATTGTTCGGTCAATATCAGAAATATTTGGAGAACATAATGCAGGAATTGAAACAGACAAAACAGAGTCTACAAATTTCGAAGACATTCCAAGAAAATATGGGGAATCAAATTTTAACACTAGACGGTGTGCTAGAGGTATGGTAAATTTTCAGCATTCCTTGGAGATAAAATTATTTATATGATAAACACAAATAATAATAACAACTGAATTTTTAAGTTGTACAAGAGAGATGAGTACAAAACCTAATGGCAATAACTGAAGTTTTTGTTTCCTTCTTAGTTAATTAACAAACTGTACTTTCTATTTATTGTAAGAGAAGTTATGATTGCATGATATTTCACTTGAAACGTGTTGTGGTAGTTGCCATCTAGATATGTAAGATTTCAAATGAGTTACGGTATGAGTAAGTCGGACGTCCACTTACTTGATACGATGCCTGTATACTAACTTTTAAACTATACTTAAGGTTACAAAATAAGGTTATCAGCAGCATCATATTTTGCTCTTTGTTTCGCTGTCAAGTTGAGTTGAATTAGTGATATATTTCAAGAGATTGACTACGTATTATAATGCAGATTGACCAACAATTGATAATAAGGAACGTTTAGGATACAATATTAAAACTACCTACATTATGAAAAGACTGCCCAACTCTTTTTAAAAATTGAACGCAACTGTATAGATACATTCTGAATAATATTTATAGAAATGTCCTTGTGTCACGTAGATTATTGAATATCTTTGCATAATAAAATAACAAATTGAACAACTAATGGTAAAATGTAAAGTTATTTTACTTTTTACCAGTATCCTTGCATGGGCATCATGCCAATTTAATTGTCTAGTCGTATTTGTGCTTGTGAAGATGTGGAGCATTTTATGAACAAGTATATAATAAAGAAATATATTTTAGGAAGTTAAAGGCGCTTTAACAGATGTTAAAAATACCAAGAAGCATGACGTTTCTATGGAGTTGTTAGATTACACACTTAGTTGGATAGAACCAAGATTGATGAGCGAATGTGTTAACGAGTTACAGAACTTGCCAGAAAAATCAAGCGATTACTTGTTTGATGAACTGACAGGCAACGCAAAAATTGGTGTTTTGCGAATTTTCAAAAAATATGGTAAAGTAATATCAAAGATTCGATTTTTACTGCAAAACTTGTTTATATGTATATGATCCCGAAAAATGGCACTGTTAGCATATAAAGTGCTAATATTTTTTAAAGTAGAGATACGCTGTGGGTAAAGTAAATGATTACGTATATAAAAATATACATATTTTACGTGTATATATCTGAGACGGTCTGGAACTGCTTTATACTTTAAAATGGGCAGCTTCACTCACAGTGAAATTTTATAAAATTTTGGCATAGATAATTTATGGAAAAAAACATTCTCAGATTGGACATATTTTGTGCATATTTCTCTATAGTAATTATCATAATATAAATCGTCCAATCACTTTGTCTTTTTATACATTACCATGAAACATGTATTTCAAGACTTAAAGATAAAACACTTTTGTTATTATTAGAATTTTGATATATAATGATTGTTAGCACCATGAATATTGAAAAGTTGCATATACCTTATACATTCGTATTTCTTTCTTTGCTCAGAAAAAAAGATGAACTTCAGACGATTTGTTCAGAGACTCGAAATGGACGATGCTATCAACAATGACATGTTTTGTGCAGACATTCCATTGACCAAAGATGCTTGTGCATCTCTGTTAGTAAAGTGGGTCAGATTGCAGGAAAATGATGCTGATACACTGGTTGAGCGATTTCCTAGAATTAAACCAGGTATAACAGTGTTGTTCCATCCTGTTCCAAATATACAAGACACCGTGTAATATTCTCAAGCATTTTATATATAGTTATTTTACACAATTTACAACTGTTATAGCGACTTTTATCTAGATCAATCTGGTATCTACTAGTACTAATTTCTAAACTTCTAAAACTGACACATGTACTTTAATATATTGGGATTGGTGTGGCAAGGGTTCAACAGTGCGGCTAATGTATCGACTCAATCAAAATATATCTATAATTCTCCTTCCCGATTTATTTATGGACTGTACTTATGATTAGATTAGAATAGTTTGAACTTTTATCTATATGATTTTTTTACGAAAGAATCAGACAAATCAGCAAAACACAATCTTTAGAGGTTTATATTTTTATTGTATTCTATTCGTCCAATATCCAAAATTGTCGCATGTGATTGTTATTTATACATACATATTACATTGAAACATTATAAATATTTAATATTTTAGGTAGAGGTGAAACAAAGCGAGATAAAGCCATCTTTCCTTTCCCAATAGCTTCTTATAGCACGGAAAGTTTGAACTCTAACGATGATCTGGTCCAGAAAAGTGAACAATTTAGAGAGCGTCTTATTAGAGACATGAAAGATATAGTGCAACAAGAAATACATGGTTTAAAACCCGAGTTAGAAGAAATTAAATCAGTGATGCTTCACGGCAGAAGTGAACCTCAGTTTGTATAAACTAGATAAGTTTGTATAAACAAGATAGTTACAGAAAACGTATCCAAAAAGTTGAAGTGGAATTTATCACTAAACAGAACAATTGTTTTATGTTGGACTTTGTCATGTTTCAATTTTTTGCGTTTTGATTTTCGGAATAAAAATGTTTTACATGTACTTATCTTTGTATTTTTAATATCTTTAATGAAAAAAATAATAACATTATAATGTGTAAACTTTATGACACGACCACCTTATAAACATATAATTCTATTTAAAACTGTATTGAAAGCTGTCTATATTTTTAATAAATTGTATTTATAATGCTTACATTCAGTAAATATTATTCTCAATATATATATGATATATCCATCTTTATCAGTAAATGAAAAAGTATATATTATATCTACATACAAGTCCGAAGTTCAATTTTTGATAGAAAAGATAAAAGTTTTACTTAAAATGGAGTAACAAACAAACATAAAATGAATGACGAACTGATTAATAAATATACGGAATAACTGGTTAATAATATAGGAAAGGGATAAGTGTAAAGAGTTCGAAATATCTGTACTACAAATCTATAAATTGATTTTTTTATAGATTTCTAAAGGAGAGGATATGCTTCCGAAGATATTTAAAAAAAATAGCAATTTAAGTAGAAGATTCGATAAATCTTATGATTTTTAGACAGAATCTTAATTAAATTCTAATAAAAAAGTATTCGTTTTCATTCATGTTTTATATAATTGTTCACGATTCTCAAGTAAAGGTAAAGATGTAAAATAGTTTCCAACTACTTGATCAAACACAATTTAATTTCTTATCTTTGTCTCTCAAATAACTGTTTAATTTGATCAGCATTTATGTTTATCATGTACATGAATATATGTAACGCCCTGACATACTGGTATGTTAGATTAAATAGAAAACATGATAACACGCTAAACATGTGATGTGAAAAATGTACTAAGGCTTAATGTGGAATTTCCCCGTTAGCTTGAAACAATCAAATATTCATCCGGTAATGATATTGTTTCTTTTAATCAATACTAGTTTGAATTTCAAATCCCTCACAAAAGGTCCGGGGTTTTTATATTAAGGTACTTTAACAAGAAGCTTTTCCAAGACTTCAAAAATTGTCGAGGATAATACCGGAAAAGGGCCAGATTTTAAATTTAAATATAATCTAAATGTATATTTTAATTTAAAATTAAAACATATGATTTTTTTCTATAAATAAAAATTTTTTATAACTTTATTATCATTTAAATATAAACCAGGGGGTTTTCCCCCCAAAAAAGTTATTGACATAATGGAAGATGAGCAAAGGTATAAATAAAGTACATAGCTTTTTTTCTTCGGAATTCCTCATTTTTTCTGTGCGTCGCCAGAGGTGTCCGTGACCCAGTGGTTAATGTCGTTGACTTCAAACCATTTGCCCCTCACCGCAGTGGGTTCGAATCCCAAAAGGGACTTTGGATTCTTTCATGTGACGAAGCTATCCAGCTAGCTTACGAAACGTCATTGACTCTACTCAGGTGACCATCCTGAGGTCTTCAAAGTACAGCTGGCAATTCGCCGTAATTTATTGCATGTGCTGTGTTGGTTCGGTATAAAACCCAACCAAAACATAAAGGATTTTGCATTGTTGAGGCTATGTCTGCCCTTGTGAGTTTTGAACTAGGCCCTGTTTTGCTGCGTTTTTATACTATCTTTTTTATGAATACGTCTTAGAACATTTTGATGTAATTTACAGGGGTCAAGAATTTGGATTTTCTGTCAGTGCATCTTCCTATAATTCATTTCTTGTTGCAGTTATCCATACATTCTCCCTAATGTAATATATTCTTCCCAATTTATTGGTGGCAAATCGTTTCTATTTCATTCCATGGAAAGTTCATTATGTTTTTCTTCTTCTTCTTTTTCATCATCTGTCTTAGGTGTTCCGTAGTTTTCGCATAGGGGTTTCGCTTCGTAGTGCTTTATATGATTTCATATATTGTTGGTTTTAGATGTAAGTCTAATTTCTCCTCCCTTTCTGTGTTCTCCAAATTAAATTTTTTGAGTTTTGGTATTTCGTTTCCTTTTGGGAAATTTTTAACATCACTCTAAGTATAATAATACGTTTTTTTTTGGCCTGATGGGAGGGTTTTGGTGTTTTCCTTTTTTGAATTCTAGTTTGTTTTCGCTGTCACTTCGTTGACGGTTTCTGTCCTACATCATCACTATGCCATCCGAAATAATACCTATCTTGATATGCCGCTCTTTCCATTGTATTTAAATATTGATTATCTACAACTCTTTCTACTTGCATTTGTGTAGCATATTTTGCTTTTATTCCCTAGTCATTTCATCCTCATACCCATTAATCTCGGATTAACCCATGTATGTCATTTTTCTGGTACTCGCACTCTTTCCAATGCATATAGTGCTCCTTATAGAGCTGCTTTACTTGAAGTGTAATGTATTCTTAACCTGAATTTTTTTTGCTAGTGTCAATACAATCTGAGCATACTTGTTTATTGTTCCGGTGCTGTTGTGAAAGTCTTTAAAAATGGTTTTGACTCGTTTTGGAAGTTGTGATTTACTAGTGCAATTGCATTGCATTCTTTGTGTCCTGTTTTTCCTGGTGCATTTTTTGTTCTCTATTTATTTAAAAGTTTCCTTTTGTCTGTAACTATTTATTTTACCTAATGGATACCATTAACATTTTGCACATTCATATTTTGATGAGTATAAAAATGACTAATCCGGTAATATTCTGATTACTGTCATTGTTCCTGATATCGTATTAAATACGTCATTTATGTAATGATTTGATCTTTGTTTCAGCAAACTGCGTCTACATATTGACCCTTAGTTATGGACTGTTCTTCTTTAGCATTCATTCTTCCATTGTTGTCGGCAATGGTCTTAGAAAAATTATTATTTACGTGACATATGCTTTCACCTAATGTTTTCGGTCTTACTGCATGTTCAGTGAAATTTCTGTATCCACTTTGGTGCATTAGTTATAAAACTAATTTTCGGTGCTGTTGCGTCAGTCGTATTTGAATCTTCCTGCATCGGCTGATAATGGTGTATGGTACTATTTGTACATACCTGGAAAAAAGTGATCCCTCGGACGCATTTAATAAATCGAACATCTACATGTATTGTCTACGGTTTGATTTCGTCATAGAAAAAGTTACTGTCTTTTCTGGCAATATTATTACTCATATAAAGCCAAAATTTTTGTTTATAGTCCATTTCAAATTCTTCTCAACCAGTTTGTATTACTATTATTTTTGGTGGTAATAGTTCTGTTGATTCTGGTAATCCTCCTTCTTGTCAGCTGCCAATATTTTAGATAATTTGAAGGATAGATACATAAAGAGAAGAAATGAGCCCCAATTCCAGAAGCTTCTCCTGGTTCTTTAGCGTGCAAAGTGTTTAGGCACTCATACAATGAACATCAATTTACAGTCTCATCCGAAAGACTGTAATTTTAGTTGGCCAGCCCGGGAATCGAGATTACAAAATTACAAGTCTTGCGCTCTAACCGATTGAGCTATGTGGGCTGGCTTAAAATGACGCTTTCCTTCACGGTCTTCGTTATATATTATCTGAACAACGTTAGCATTATCGCTTCAGTGAGTTCATATTTGATTGGCTCTTTTAAGCGTTGATTTAATATCTAACAGCATATGCGAGTATTTTCACAAGTCATATACACTTGTTATTGTTACTGGCTAATGATATTCTTTCTCTTATCCTGTATTGAGAGGACAATCTTACACAACTGCACTGACTGGTGTCCGTGATTTGTTGAAAGCATTTGAGACAAATCACGATCACCAGTCAGTGAAGTGGTGTACGTGGGAGGTGAGCTGCCACTGGTGACTCCAATAGAAGTGCCTCCAGTTGACCTACTTTGGAGTATTGCAGCAGAGTGACGCTGTGTTCCCTTCTCGTCCTTTTATATTACCCGTGACTTCAACATTATCGCTTCACTGAGTTCATTTTTAATTGGTTATTCATAGCGTGTGTGTAATATTTTACTGCGCACGTGCCTATAATTTTCACCAGTCTTATACACTGGTAGATTTACTGGTCAATGATATTCTTTCTATTCTCCTGTATTAATAAAACAATCTTAAACCACTGCACTGACTGGTGCCCGTGTTTTGTTGAATGCACAAAGCACATTCATCAGTCAGTGAAGTGAGTGTATATGGGTTGTGAGCTACCACTGATGGCTTCAGTAGAAGTGCCCAATGGTTGAACTACTAATACAAGCTGAACATATAATTAATTTTACTTACGTTTTTGTTAATCCTTTAAAATCACAGTTATTTTAATACAGATTGAGCTACTGGCTAATGATGTTCTTTCTATTCTTCTGCATTGAGGGGGTAATCATACAACGGTGCCCGTGTTTTGTTGAATGTGGTAGAGACAAATCACAATCACCAGTCAGTGAAGTGGTGTACGTGGGAGGTGAGCTGCTACTGGTGGCTCCAACGGAAGTGCCTCCAGTTCACCAACTTTGGTATCTCGCAGCAGAGTGCGCTTTCCTCCCTGCTCTTCTTTATATATTACATTTGACGTCAACATGATCACATCAGTGACTTTAATTTTGGTTTGTTCTTTTAAGCGTTGGATTAACATTATACTGCGCATGCCCTTATTTTTACCAGTCATAAACACTGGTAATTTTTACTGGCCAATGATATTCTTCCTAGACTCCTGTAATGAGAGGACAAAGTTAAACCACTGTACTGATTGGTGCCCGTGTTTTGTTGAATGCGATTGAGACAAAACACGGGCATCCGTCAGTGCTGTGGTGTAAGTCGTGGCGAGCTGCCGCTGGTGGACCCAGTATTTCCGCTGGTTGAACTACTGCTAGTATCTGAACTTATAATTATTTTTACTTACTTTTTTGTCAATCCTTTAAAATCACAATTATTTTAATACATATTAAGCTCATTACACGTTGGTGTCTCGCAGCAGAATGGCGCTTTCCTCTATCCTTTTCCTTATATATTAAATGTGACTTCAGTATTTTCGCTTCATTGAGTTTCTTTTTTTATTGGTAATTCTTATCGTTGGTTTAATATTTAACTGCGCATGCGAGTATTTTCACCAATCATATACACTGGTTATTTTACTGGCCAATGGTATTCTTTCTATTCTCCTGTATTAACAGGACAATCTTACACCACTGCACTGACTGGTGCCCGTGTTTTGTTGAATGCGGTCAGTGAA